CCTCTTTTCAATGGAACTGTAGCCCTATGTTAGGGTTAGGGGTGTGCACCAGGGTAGGGTTAGGGTTAGGAAAACCAGGTGTCCTGGCACGATTCTGATGGTAGGAATGCGTTCGGAAGGGGCAGAAAGGATGAGCAGTGCAAAAAAAGCTACTCAGGGAGGGCTTTTTCAAAATTGCCCTCTTTTTAATGGAACTGTAGCCCTATGTTAGGGTTAGGGGTGTGCACCAGGGTAGGGTTAGGGTTAGGAAAACCAGGTGTCCTGGCACGATTCTGATGGTTGGAATGCGTTCAGAAGGGGCAGAAAGGATGAGCAGTGCAAAAAAAGCTACTGAAGGAGGGCTTTTTCAAAATCGCCCACTGCAGCCCTACCTGCAGCTGCCCGGGCAGTGCCTGGCACAAGCGGAACCAATGCCACGTCCCATCCAGAGCCCTCGATGCAGGCTTCCTGTGGCCCGTCTCCTATCTACCAGTGGTATCACCATCACAGAATAGCACAGTTTTCCCTAGTAGATGAATTTATTTCCAGAGAAATGGGTTTAGGACAGCTGCAGAACCCAGGAGGAACGGTGCCAGCCCAAAGCGACCAGAGACAGTCTTTCCCGAGTGTTTCACCAGGTGTCGTATTATCACAACTGCTATTTAGCACTTTTAACCTGCAAGTTGTGTCTTACAACTTTTATGTGCTGGCTGCTCCAAGAGCCCAGTGAGATCAATTGCTATTATTTCTCTTTTATGGTCCGATAATGTTTTTAGGTGAATAATGAACACTGAGAGCCAGAGACTTCAGGACTGTGAAACCCCAAATTGACCCAGACAACCCTGGTTCCCCCACCTGCTGCAGAGGTCCAGGTGGACCTTCCTGTACCCCGCACTCAAAGCAGGATGGATCTCATCTCAGATTGATTTAAATCACTAGTCAGTAAGACCAGATTTCAATCATGGTTCTCTACATAATTTGCATGCCTGCCTGCCTCACGCTAAGTAGGGGAACGTCATTAAAATATCCCCAAGTTTTCTCTTGCAGGGAAAGAAAAATACGATAAACCCCAGGCTATACACAAACAGATCCAAAGACTTGTGGAATATTCTGCTCAAAAGGTTTCGCTTTCGCATTCACTGCCTGCCCCTCCCTCCTCACACCTTGCTTCTTCAGCAGATCTATTCCATTCCCATTGAATCTGTTGAAAGTTCGCACTTAAGAGGTAAGGGGTTGCGTCTATGTACATAGATTTGCAAAGAAACCGTGGGATTATGGTCTTTTTCTCAACTCTGTATGTTTATTTTATAACATTTTTACTGTGAAGAAGAGGCATGTGAACTCTGCAGACACAAATTCACAGTTTTGAGAACTGTAAAACCAAGCATCTGTGATAATATCTCCTATATAGAAATTTGCCCAGTGATGTTACAGAAACCTCTGGAAGAGCACGATACTGTGAATGAATTAATGGAATTCATTTCTAAAAAAAATCAAATATTGCATGAATATACAATATTTTAATTATGCTACATAATTAAAAACTAATCCTTATTTCATGATGAATAACTTTTGAACTATAATGTATCTTAAAAGGAAAGCTACCTTTAGATTTTTCCTCAAAAAGGATTTTATTTTTTAAAAATCCAATTTTTAATTAAAAGAAAACCCCATCCACCCTGGCTCAAGCCTGGCACTCTCTCTCAGGACCAAGGGACCATCCTCTGTCCAGAAGTTCACACTCTGTGTTTCACAGTCTGGGGGAACCAGCTGTGGCCTCAAACCCAGCTGGTTTGCCAGAAGACCTCCCCCTATGCTGGAGGCTGCCTTGAGGCCCACCGTGAGGCATTCCAACTGCCCCAGATGGAAAGTCTTATTTGACTTTGCTGCCCACCACACATTTGAACCATCTGACTGCTCAACACAGCAAATTCTTCTCTTTATGAATTCTCTGCACCAACACCGCCTTCAAGACAGCATCCATTCACGTCAACAAAGCCACAATCTCATCCTTCCACTCCCCAGTTCACAGCCGTTCCTCCTTCTCCCTCACCAGTTTCCCTGGGGTATCACAAACCTCACTCCACCAATCCATGTTCCCAACACCAGCCTGCACATATGCAGGAGAAACCCGCCCAGTCCGGCAGCAGCAGGAAAGTAAACTACTGCACCTCAGAAACACGTGACTTACCTTTGTTGGCCGAAAAGGAGCCATTTCTGTGAAATGCAAGTCAGCGCTGCAGAGGTATCACCCTTGACTTGTGCTTCTTCCCATCTGAAATAGTTAGGAAAGCATGCGATTAGCATGGCGTATCTTCCCACGGCTGACCGAACTATTCTATTGCGCTGGGCCATGCACTTGAAAAAGGATTCCCATAAAATGTCACGCTGGAGATGCCATTCCTAGCCATCGCTGCTTATAGCCAGTGCGGCACAGTGGCTGGAGTGCTGGTCTGCGACTTGGGAGTTCTAGTCCTCACCCAGTCATGAAACTCACTGGATGACTTTGGGCCAGGCACAGACTCTCAGCCTAACCTACCTCACAGGGTTGTTGTGAGGATAACATCAAAGAAGCAAGCCACTTTGGGTTCCTTGCAATAGGAACCAAGATGGAATAGAAATATAATTGAATGACAAATCATCATGTCCACTGAGGACTGCTTCTTACAGGCACGACGCTGCCACATGGGCCTTGAATCTTTTAAAAAAATCATTAAATTCATAGGCCATCCCAACATCTTGTAGCAATGAACTCCCGCCTACTTTACTGCATAAGAAGAATTTCCTTTCAAATGAATTGCCAATCAATCCTACAGGGAGACTTCCAAATTCTGGCATTTTTATACATACACATTCTCTCTTGTTTGCTCTATCCACGCCATTATTTGCATAGATCTCTATCATTTTCACAGAAAGATGAAGTGAAGTCTCAAAGTGTTGCAAGGCTGTACAAATGTGTGTCCAGCAGCTGCTATCAATACTTCACTTATTTACTTATTTGCGTAATTTCTGTACTGCCCAACAGTCAAAGTTCTCTGGATGGTTCACAAAGCACATTAAAAATGCCAATTAAGATACATACTGAAACATCATTGTGGATGTTTCAGCCTGTAGCTCCAAATATATTCACAGTGAGATTTTCATAACTTATCCCCTCAAGCCAGAAAAAATGGTCCATCCTCTGTTGTATGAACAGTGCAACAAAGAGGAGCGCTTCGTCTTTAAAAACTACTAACGTAAGAGCTATCCTGCACTAAGGCCGATTTAGTCCAGCATTTTCTTCAGGAAGTGGCCAAACTGCTGCCACTGGGAAGCCGCCAAGCAAGGCACAGGCAACAGCGCCCTCCAGCACCAGCCTTCGGGCAAATGCTGCAGCCACGCGGCCCTGGAGCCCCGCGGCATAAGGCTTGGTGACCGGCAGCCAGGCACAGCCTTCTCCGTGAAATCGCCCAGTTCCCTTCGAAAGCTGCCCGAATCAGCGGCCATCACAGCATCTTATGGAAGTAAATGTCATAGTTTCTGTCCATGTGAGTAGTTGCCCAAATCTCCCACCCAACAGCTCCCTGGGACAACTCCAGCATTACGCGGGGGGGAATGTCTCCCTCTCCACTTCCAGTGCAGCGGGATAATTGTACAGGCTCCACTCACATTTTTTCCAGGCCAAATGCTGCCAGCTATTGCAACGTTTCCTCGCTGGGGAGGCCTCTGGCTCCTGAACAGTTTAGATGCCCTTTTCTGCGCTGTCCTTTTCTAGGTGCAGCACCCAGGCCTGAACACAATATTCGAAGTGTCACACAACTATTTGTATAAGGGCAGTCTGATACTGGCAGTCTTATTTTCAGTGTCTTTCCAGCTTATACCTAACGTGGAACTTGCCTCTTTCGCAGCAGCTGTGCCCTGGGCGGGCTGTTTCGCCAGGCTGCCAACTGCAACCCCAAGATCCTTTTCTTGGCCAGCCGCTGTTTACTCAAAGCCCATCAGCCTCTTCTGGAAGTCGGGAGTTTTTGCCCCAAAGCACTTCATTTCACACTTGCTTACACTAGTCTACATTTACCCTCTTTTGGTGCTCCTTACAACTTGTTTTGTGTTAACCATCCTAAAGAATCTGCTGTCATCAGCAAGCACGGACTGCCTCCTGCACCGCATCACATTGTTCCACGGTTGTATAACGCACATCTTGCTATGAGATCTTGACTGGGCAACCCAAGACACAGAAGCAAACCAGGCAGTGCAAATACGCGCAGGCCTCGAGAAGCTGGACGTGCCGGTGCAGGCGAGGCGCTTCCTGCTTACAGCGAAGGCCCGCGACCAAGAAGCGCGCGGAGGGCGGCTCAAAGGGCCCTGCGCTGGCGTCGGGCGCGCGCCCGCCGTGTACGCGGCTCGGGCGCCCGGGCGCGCCAGCGGCCTCGCGGGGACGCGCCTCCGGGCGAGGGAGGGGCCCCGCGGCAGAGAGTCGCCCCGTCGCCGCCTGGCTCGCGCGGGCTGCCCTGACGCGGCAGGGTCTCCGTGGCGCCGAAGGGGCCGCCGCGCGGAGCCGCCTCGGCACAGGCGGCAGGAAGGGGCGGCCGAGCCGAGCTCGCTCGCGCTTCTCCCGAGAACCCCGCTTGGCTCCGGGAGCGGCGGGGGAGCCAGCACCGGCCGGCCGGCCGGCCGCCCGCCGCAAGGCCCGGCCCCGCGCGCCCCCGCGCCTCACAGCAGCGCCACGGCGGCAGCTCTCGCGCCCGGCCCAGTCCAAGGGCTGCCTGCGAAGCCGACCAGCCAGGCCCGCGGAGGCGGGCCCTTCCCGCCTCCCGGGCGCGCGGAGGGCGGGGCTGACGCGCTGCTCCGGACGCGATTGGCGGGAAGGGCCGCCTGTCCAGAGCGCCCTCGCGTCTCATTGGCTCGGCCCCGCGCACGGTATTGTGGGCGCGCGCGGCGCAGTCCGGCGCAGGGCCCAGCCCGGAGGGGCTGTCGCGCGCGGCGCGCCCCCGCGGCTTCTGCCGGCGTCCCCGCGCGGGCGCGCCCCCTGCCGCTTCGCACCCGCGGCCAGGCTGCCCGGCAAGCCGCCCTTCGTGGGGTAAGTACGGTGCTCCCTCCCCGGCTGCGGCCGCTTCTCAAAGGCGGCACCCCGCGAGGCAGAGCGCGCCCTCTCCCGGCTGCGGGAGGCGGAGCCGCGGCCCATCGACGCGGATGCACCGAAATCGCAAGCCGGCGGAGAACCTTTCTGCTGATGAGCACCGAGCCAGCCCCAGAGCGGAGGGCACGGCTGGCGGGCTCTAGGGCGGCCGTGGAAGGGGGCGAAATGCTCCGAGTCCCTCCAGGAAAAACTGTCCCGAGGGAGCTCGGCGGCTTTTGCAGGCGCCTCGCCCGGCTCGGGACTCCGGTGCTGGGGCAGGGAAGGGCGGCGGCACAGCGGCTGCTCGCTCGCGAATGGCTGGGGGAGCCCCGGCCCCTTCCGACGCTGGGCTGCGGGTGCCATGGGCGCGGGAGGGGCAGGGAGCGGTCACAAGGCCCTGCGTGCACTACAGATCCCGACCTCTCTGCAAACTCGGGATGAGGAAATTATACACAGCCTAATTGCTTCCCATTCCGTAAACATACAATCGGCATTTTCGCTCCATCAACAGCTGCTTTTGGTTAAAGTCTTTAAATAGCTGTAGCTGGATGCAGCCTATGTGAAGGCAGCCCTACCGTTGATGTTGTGCAGTGAAGGGCGGCATAGGACCAGATGCGCAGAGACGCCTCTTTTTGCATCCTTCACCACCACCTAGGGGGAGGAAGCGGTAGGACACGACCTGGAGGAGGATGCTCAGAATTTTTAAAAGAAACTTATATCCATCGCTTAAATCTAATTCAAACTTGGCAACAAATCTAAGTTGCTATTTTTTCTCCATTTCAGAGATGGATGCTTTGATGCAAGGATGTTTAAACTGGTTATGAAGCTTGGTTATGTAAGAAGCGCCGTCTTTAGCAAGTCCAGAGACAATACAAGGTTGTGGGACGGGTGGAGAAAGTGGAGATCACGTTTTTACCTCTGTCGTAATACTGGAACTTGGTGCACCCATGCATCGAATACTAGAGTTGGAAGGGGCCATAACGGCAATTGATCCCAGCCCCTGCTGTCACATGACACCACAGTTACTCCATGTCAGGACGCTGAGGTAAATTACCCAGCCGTGCCAGTGTGTTGTTTTTCAGTACCTTTAAAGAACTGCCACTACTGACGTCTCCTCAGATTCCCTGCTGCTGGTACAGAGAGGCGTCTTGGCTCAGATCCTGGAGGCAGCTTAGAGAGCCATCACAACTAAGAACTAGAGGGTGCTTCCTCCATGAACATGCCCAGTTCCATTAAAGCCTTATAAACACCCTCATCACTATATATTATGGTAGTGAATTCCATTATTTACTATAACTGCTTGGTGAAAAAAATCCTTTCCTGACCCACAAACCGGCTTCATTGGATGCCCTCCCCTTCCACTTTTTCCATCCCACACGGAATTGCTTTCTTTCTTGCCACTGAGCTTCCAGGTTGCACAGGCGTGGTGCTACAAAATGTGGTTTGAAAGTCATGCTTCCAGTAACAAGGCCTAAAATAGCAGCTGCCCTTTCTGCAGCCACACTGTGGCCTCATATTCAGCTTGTGATTTACAACAATTCCACGATCTTCCTCACTTGCAGTGTTGCTGAGCCAAGTATTCCCCTTCTTGTAATAATGCATCTGGGCTCTTTTTCCTAGGTGCTCCCATCATCTTTGACATTGGCCATGATGGTAAAGCACCTGGAAGGCACCAGGTTGGGGAGCCTGCCCTGCGGCCTACCAAGCCTCCATGGACACCTGTCCGAGCGGCAGTCCGTGGCCCCACCTGAAGGTCATCAGCAGCCACTCTCTGGGCTGCTCCAAACAGACTGGGTGCTATTTGGCCACCGCGGCCATCTCAGGCCAGGCGCCTCTGCATCTTCTGTTAGCCACAAGCTCCACATTCTGCCCTGCCTCCCCCACTGCAACGGGAAACACACAACAGGAGTGTTTTGTGAGCAAATTTATTTAAATGTTTTTAATGCAGTTCAGTCCAGAAACTGCAGAAGTAAACTAAATTTTACATTCTCTACAAAGTCCCCCTTCAATGTTTATGACTAATTCCCATCTCAAACCCACCCCACTGATGTGTGATGCAACTCACTCTTTGGGGCACACATTCGGGCCCTCCCTATGCTGCTAGGAATAGACTGCTGTTCTGAAAGAAGCCAGCCCCTGGATTCTTGAATTAGCAACAGCTGATTTTAGCAAGTCCCTGAAAAACATTATTTATATATTTACAAAGCCAATCTTCTGATAGGGTGACAAACAAGCATCCTGAAAAGGTCGGCCCAACAGCTTCAGATGGAGACGCGGCAGCCCATGCAGGTGCGCAAGCCACACCTGCCAAATCGCCCACCTCTGAAGCCGCTGGCATGAGAGGGTAAGGAGGCTTCTCTTCGTCTGACTGCAGAACTGTTGGGCCGAGGCATAATTCACGTGGGCCCTACAAGAGTTTGCTGCTGCCTTAGCAAGCAGTCCGTGTCCAAGGTAGGATCCACTTTTCTTAACTGAAAACAGCGACAGGAAGGTCTTCAGGATGCTGGCTGCTTATCTCCTTTTTCTAACCAATAGAGAAATTGCAACAGTTTCAATTTTAGGCATATATATTTATACCTGCAGGGAAACATCTCTTTGAAGGATTATGTTTTGAGCATGAAGAGAGCTAATTAATGTCATCACACAGTTGGTACAGAACAGAGCTTTTGCAGAGCTTCCCAACCAAGAGCTGGGAAGCAGTGCTCTTTCTCGTGAGATGTTCTGTCCTTTCATGTCAGCTCACGCTCAGTGACGAAACAGCTGCAGCACTGTCCCCTTTTATCATGCTGCTTTGACGCAAGCTTTTCCGATTTTGCCAACCTTGATGAAGAAACAACTGTATCTTCAATGTACAAAACTCTGGCAAAATGGAAGCCAGCCTTGTATTTTTCACTGGATAGCAAAAATTTGATTCTTGTTACAAGAAATGTTTCCGATTTGATTCCAAGGTAGTAACAATCCAGAAATAAATAACTATAAATACATTCAGTGTTCCCATCCCAGGATTATGAAGGGATAATGCAAAACGGGGGTTCAATTGCTGATCCACATCTGTTGGCATAAATGAAGACAAGGCAAGCTCTAACCATGGGGAGACGCAACTGGGAAGGGCTAAGAGAATGTGGACTGGTCCAACATCGATGGTCTTGTGGCACATCAGTTAACATAATCCAGCCAGTTCTCCCCCTAAAGGTCTCTGGGGAGCTTTCTTAGCTTTGGCCGATACAATGAGAGTATGTCCTTTCTGGAAGGGTTTCAGCACTCTGGAGAAACTGTGGCCGCCCCTCGGTGTAAGTATGCACCCCTTGCATGTGTGCATGCATGCCAAGAATCATACATACATGCGCACACACCCAGGTGGGTCAACAGGCCACGCGTGAGCAGACCGACCTTCTTCACTCGTCATTGGCAGCACTCGTTCCTCTTACTTCGCCTTGATTACGCAACTGCGGGGAAAGAGAGTCCGTCACACACAGGGACTTGCACGGAGCAAGCGGAGGGGCCTGCCCACTCTCCCAGCTGCTGCTGCTGCTGCTGCTGCTGCTGCTCTGCGCCCAGGCCAGGTGGCGGTGGCAATGGGCCAGGCGCGCCCGTGCCTGCGGCCACGAGGGTCACTGGCGTGGACTTGCCGCACGTGGATGTGGACACATGGCCGCTCTTGTCATCACGGCAGCAGCCCTGCAAGCCCAGCTCCTGCCACCGCTGCCTCGGCGGGGAGGACGGCCCGCGCACTGTGGCCGAGCAGCAAATGCAGGAGGAGGCAGACGGGCAGCGCGACAGGGCAGGCCCCAAGCCCTGTTCCCAGGAAGCTGCCCTGGTTTTGTGTCAGTTTCCCAGAGCGGGTAGCAAATGGATGGACCGATCAAAAGCAATAGGACAGGGCAAGCTGAGCAGCCCCTCGTCTCAGCCCCTCGTATCCCTTCCAACTCTGTCTCCCTTCCTGGGGCTATCGGGCCCCCTAGTGCACAGGAAGACCCCTCCAGTGGTGTCGCTAAGGGTGGGCATAGCTGGGAAACCTTCAGAAGCAGCGGCCGCGTGCAGAAAGCTCTCTGCCATCCCAGCTGAGGCAACCCGTATTGTGGTAGGCGTCACGGTTACAAAAAAACACTACCGAAAGCTTTAAACTGTACTGGTGGCCAAACCAACTGACATCTTTCCCCTGTTAAAAGCTGGTTTCAAGAGAAGCAACCAACCATTTTTCTTAGGACGACGGTATCTCCACTGCAGTGGGAATGAGGTAAGGAGGGGAAGGGAACGGGTGCAAATGGCCCCGGTATAGTCTGGTGAAAGGCAGCAGGCAGATCAACCCTTTGTTCACCTGCAGCTTTAAGGGGGTGAAGACGGGGAATCTGCTTACGAGCACCGCTTCCCATTTCCACCAGACCCCCTTTTCGCCAATGCTCGTCCCCAGAGGACAGAGAAGCCACTTCTGTTGCACTGCTACTCCAGTAAAAGGCAGCACTACATTACCCAGCAGGCACCAAAGCAGGTGGAAGGCTGGTGCGCCAAGCTGGGAGTCCACGCGAGAGCACCCTTACCGCCTCCAGCTCTCTCTGCGTTTCGTCCTCCATCCGCCGGATGTCCTCCATAGTCAGGTCAATCCACCGGTCAATCCAGCAGAAGAGCTGGCGGTGGAAGTTGGTGAATATCCTCTTTTCTTGCTTTGGAGAGAACAAAAGCAGGCTGCGAGTGGCCCACCCCGCTCCGGCAGTTCTGACGGCACAGGCTCTGCCCCTCCCCAGCACAAGCCAACGGCCCCTCGTGCCAGAGCAGACTCGCTTCCACCAGAGGCGCACCCCACCTGCCGGCAACGCCCGCCCGCCCGCGAGCTGCCCTCCTGGCATCCTACCTTCTGGATAAAGTTCTCTATTTTGTTCTGCAGCCCCCACCACTTGAACTTGATCGTCACCAACTTGTAGGCACACATTTCTGGGCAGTCTTCATCGGCGGCCAGCTCCTTCTGTTTGCAAGAAACGAGAGGAAGGGGAACTGAGGGCCCCTGGGTGGCTCACGGGCACCGCGGCTGCAAAGTCGGAGGGAGTCTCGGAAGTGGGTTAGTTAGCAAGCGCAGTGTGAACGGTTTTGCTGGAAGTCATCCCTCTTACGAGGTAATGGTTGTTATGGAATATTAAACATGCCAGGCAAGGTAAAAACTGCCCTGCAAATCTTGAACTTGGGGTCATTTTCCAAAAGCTCCATTTACCTCTTGGCCAGGTATCGCCTAAGCTTTCCAATGAAGTCTGCAGCTACGGGACTCGCCTAGCAGCCACTGCCTTTCCTCAGAGGCTGTGGAGCCAGAGATGTGAAAACGTGTGCTAGCCATATTCTAGCCTGCACCTGGCATCACGCAGGAAGTGCAGCCATCTCCACTGGGGCAGGCAACCGGGAGGCAAGACCCTCGGGCACTGGGCCAGGCTGCAGGGCCGGGAGCGCTGCCATCGCAGGTGCGAACCCGGCTGTCTGAACGGAGACTGCGTGGCTCTGGCTGAGGAGCAGCAGGCCCCGGGTGGAACTGCGTCAGCCGAGCCTCCGGATCAGATGCCGGCGACATCCTGGCTGGAAGACTCCTGCATGTTTGGCTTTCTCCTCCACAGCACACGAGGCGCTGGGCCCTCCGGAGGGCTGCTCGGCTGCTCGGCTGCTCCAGGAAGAGCTGCTGCAGGCCCTCTTGAAGCAAGCATGTGCGCTTCGTACACCGTGGCATTTTTAAAATATGCTGCAACTTAAGCGTCTCTCCTTGCAGCCGAACTGTACCCAGAACCCTTGGGGCACAGCCCAGTTGGGAAGCCTGTCCCCCTCCGAGCTTGGAGGATTGTGGCTCTTCTTTGCAAGGTGGGAGAAGTAGGCAAGGTCCCCTCCACACACCTCCCATCCTGCCAAACCTTCAGAGGGCTGATCTTGGCTGTCTAAGGGGGGTGCCTCAACCGGAGGGAAGGAGGCTGAAGCGCCACCAGGATCTGCGGGATTTCTCTTGGCGGCACGTTCTCTTTCCTGCCCCCAACCAGAGTTAGTTCTGTGAGGGGGACTGGAGTGCGGCCCCCAGCTACGAAGTTGGAGCAATCCCCTGACCCTGCTATCTGGAGATCCGAGCCATCTTGTGGCTGTCTGGATGCCATGCAGTCACTCTGCCCAAGCACTTAGTGAATGGAAGGAAACGGCACTTGTCTGAGTCATCTGGCTCTTTTTCCGCAACATTCAAAGCAGCCAAGCCATGTCACTGAAATTAACGGTGGCTGTTAGTGCTGCTCTCCAGGATGGGGTCAAGGCCACGGGGAAAGTCGCACATGCAGCATCAGGTGGGGGCTCGGAGCCGTGTGTCTGAACCGTTGAGTAACTACTGCGTTGCTTGTACAGAATTCCAGAACAAACATAACAAAACAAACACACTCAGGCACCTCACTGCTTTCTCCAGCTACAGCAACATGCCATGCCAAAATTTGGATTTTGCTTAAAGCCAGGAACTCCTCCTTACATAAAATCCCTAGTAACAGGTGAAAGGGTTTTAGGACCTGAAGGAAAAAAAGGGTGACATTGTACTTCATCGCTAACAGAGCAGGAGCGGTGTGTGATCTGGGCCGGTCCGTGCATGCACATCGAAGAGCCCCAGAATGTTACTGAGAGCAAGCAGGAGCCAGTGGTCGAGCAGAGCTCCCTCCGGGCCGCCGGCCTCGGTGACCCGGGCAGGCCAGGGCAGGCCCCCTCCCGCATGGGAGCCCGTCTGCGGAAAGCGCGCCAACGGTGCTGCGTGGCGTGCTTGCTTGCCGCCCGCGTTAGAGCGCACCGGGGCAGCCCGCAGCAGCAGCGTGCCCTCGCCGCACACCGGGCCGGCCTCGCCCATTCGTTTCGTTTACGCCCACCTTCCTTCCATCGTGGGACTCCCGGGGGCCTGCGTGCAGTTGCCGGGTGGGCCTTGCTCGCACCACAGGAGCCCTCGGGGGTGGGCCCCTGGAAAGCTGAGCCACCGCTGGAAGAGCAGCTGAGCAGCAGCATCCAGGCGGCAGAACCACCACCAGCCCCTGCGCCCAATGCCGGCAAGCCCAGGGGAACACGCGCAGCTGCGCTGGCCAAGCGCCCAACCTGGAAAGGCCAGAGGGATCCAGAGCAGTGCCGTGACATCTCCTTTGCCTCCCCGAGGGGCAGCTGGGCCCCTGAAGTGGCCACAAAAACATCCCTAGACTGGTTCCTTACACCGCTTTTCATTTGCCTGCACTGCAGAAGGAAAAACACTGAATCTGCACTTCCACCGGAGCAGCAGCATCAGTGTCTCTCAGGAGCTGCCTCGTGCCAATTCCTTCTCCTGATCTCTCCCGCCAGGGCAAAGGGTCAGCTCGCATTACCTTCCAGTCGGCACCCAAAGGGCCTCTCTTGGTCTTAACTGACTGGAACAATGCTGGGTCCTCGTCAGCTTTATAGTCCTGTGAAATACGAGGAGAAAGAAGCAGCGTCAGAGTGAAAAGAGGGTGAAATGGGAATGGCAAGGATCCTTTCGAGCAGCTGTAGGATGAGGAAGTGTGGAAGGGGCAGGAACCAGAGGCAGGTTCAGCTCTTTAAGCACACAAGCTCAGAGGCCAGAAGACCCGGTGGCAGGAGCACAAGATGCCCATGGATGCAGATTCATGCCAGCTCTGGCTCTGTGGAAACAGAGCAAGTCTGGCCCCCCGGCCCCAGCCAGCCCCGCTCGTGCAATACCCAGCACGTGGTTGTCCACCCTTTTCCTGAACAGACGGGGCCCTCATCACCTCCCAGGGAAGCCCATTCTGAATCCACGCAAGCGGATGATCCCAAAAAGAAAGCCTGCAAAAGGGGCTCAGGAGGGCAACGTCCTTCCTGCAGGCAAAGATTCAGCGGAAGCTGCCTGGGAGGTGTTTGTGGAAGGAGACAAGACCCCGGCGAGCAAGCGCCATGCGCGTTCCCTCAGAAATAAGGCCCACTGCATTCAATGAGGCTCAGCCCAGGCCTTGCAGCTTGTGCAGGATTGAGGGCCACGGAGGCGACGCAACGAAGCCATCCTGGGTGGAAGAGGGAGCAGGGAAGGCAACCTGCATCCTGTCACGGAGGAGAAAAGGCTGCAGAGCTGATTTCAATTCCTGTGTTTTCACTTTGCTCATTTCTTTCAAATCACTTCCAAAAGGACAGCCCTTTCTGTAGTTAATTGTATGTCTCCTTCTGCTTACACTTTAAAGATTCTTCCTCTCCTGGGAAATGACTTTTGTATACAAATCACACAAAACTGCTTAGACAAAGCTCTGGAGATGATTAGAAGGGCCCAAATTTCAATTTATACCTTAAGAAAGCAGCAGATGTCAGCTGAACCATTTGTATACATTTGGAAAGGCGCAGGGCTGGCATCTGAGTTTCATTAGGCCCTTCAAGAGCCTGCCGAGTTTGGAGCCGGGATGTTTATTGATTAGGGTTTTGAAACAAAAGGAACCGCCAGGCTCAGATTGTTTGGCCAAGGTTCACTCAGAGTGAAGGCCAACAGCTTGGCCTAATATGAGAACAGGCGGCTGGGGATTCGAGCCCCTCTGCTTCATTCACAAGGTTATCTGCTTACCAGGGTTCAGCCAAGCCTGAGATTTCAAGAACCATGTACTGCAGCTTGACTCAGAGAGCATGGCGAGGCATTTCTCAACTGCAAAAACACTCGGAGGAGAAAAATCAACAGGAAGGCCCCTTTCTGCCAAGAGATCTCCTTTCCCAACCAAGGCAGAAAACTTGAAAGGCAGAACGCGACACGTGCTGCAAAACATCCCATAGACCAGGGAGGGCGAACCTGTGGCACGTGCGCCCCAGCGGGCACACAGAGCCCTCTCTGTCAGCACGTGAGCCAAGTCGCCCCTGCATCGCCCCAGCAGCCAAGCATCGGATAACAGCGCACATAGGGGCCATGCGCACGCTCAGAAAGGAGTAACGGTGCCAGGCGATGACGTCACGAGCCACGACTCGTCCGAGCTTTCGCATGGACAGTATTTGCTTCGACTGGCTGTGAGTTGCTTTTTCTAAACCAAAACCTGTTTTCAGGTTTTATTGTAGTGCTGGCACTGTGCGATAAATGTGGGTTTTGGGTTGCAGTTTGGGCACTTGGTCTCTAAAAGGTTCGCCATCACTGGGTTAACGTTAGAAAAATGAGGTATCCTGGCATGATTTTGACAGTTGGAATGTGTCTAGAAGGGGCAGAAATGATGAGCTGTGCAGAAAAAGCTACTCAAGGAGGGCTTTTTCAAGATCGCCCCTTTCAAATCCCTCATGCTTAATTCCCTTTGGAGCAAAATCGGATGGAAATGAGGGATCGCTCCGGTGCTGCATCCCGCTCCATATAGATGGTTCAAAATGCAGAGCAGCACACGCTGCTGGGGGAGCCTCTGAGCAGCTCCCCAGTGGGAGAGAGACGGGGCCTGCAGGCGCCCCCTACCCTGCTGCCTCACTGGGGCCAAAGCAGGTGAAGAGCCTCTACAATGGAAGGGCGAGAAGCACCGGCGGCCACAAACCGGAGCGAGCGCGAAGCGCGAGGCTGCCCGAGGCACCCCGCTCACTGCCAGGAGGCACCCGGGCAGGGATACCAACGCATTCAGCACTTCAGCTGCCACACCTGCCGGAACGCCTTTCAGGTTGCCACCGCAGTGCTCTTCGGGAAGATGCGTGCCATCGATGCACGCAAATACCCCAATGCTGTGTCACGATGCAGCGCAACTGCCCGGGCCCCGCAGCCCGGAGGGCGACCGACTTACCCCAGGCTCCACCTGGCTTCTGTCCGCAATGTCGATGTGGACCACCTCCACCGTCTTCCAAGTGCTGGGATCCAACTCGTGCACCTGGAGTGGGGAGAGGAAGCGGAGTGGGCCTTGGCTGCGAGTGCGTCCTCCCGTGTACCACACAGGCGTGCCCCTGGGCTGAGTCCGCGTGAAGCCCAGTCCCCCTGTGCCGACAGCCTCTGCCAAGCAGAAGCAAGACGTGGGCGATTCTGGTCCCCCGGCTCTTACGTTGTCTGATGTCCCCAAGTCTGGCTTGTGCCAAGTCTCAATCTTGATGAAGAAGTCATCTTTCATGTATTCATTCTATCAGAAGCCAAAGATAAAAGCGACACAGTGACTTCTAGCGGCGCGCGCATCTCCACCTGCAATCGCAGGACAGGCGGGGCAGGGCTGAATGGCGCGCATTAACGTGGTCGCAGGGGTTCCAACAAAGCCCATCTGCCTGTGAGGAAGAGCAGCAGTGGCTCTTCCCACCCTGTCAGTTCGGACTTCTAGATGCCCCTTGCTGCTTTTAACACTCCTCCCACTGACAGGCGCTGCAAAAAGAAGCCAGCCAGCCTCTCGGTGGAAAGTTGGGGAGACCTGACAAAGGCAAAGTGTGGGGCAGGGCAGGGGGCTGGTTTCTGCCCCTGGCCTCTCCTGGAGCCTCTCTCACCAACGGCGCTGCGAGGCTCCGGCAGGAACGGCCCAAACGAGGGTAACACAGAGCTCCGCCACAAGCCGCGCTGCCCACACTGGGCCTGCCTGCATGTTCAGAACTGGCCGTGGCTGAGGACAGACGGGAGTCCAGCCTGCGCTGGAGGGCTGGAAGCGCTGGTCCTTCTGCAGCCCCAGCCATGACTGCCACTGGACTGCTGAGGGTACATCGGGGGACTGAAGTGGCACCCAAGTAATTCTCTGACTGCAAAGCTTCAGAGTGAGACACCTTGTCAGCACCTAAATTTGGCACGAATGCAACGAATTTAGTAAGTGGGAAAGAATTCAAGCTGCAGAGAACTGAGGCTCTTGTTTCGTCCTTTTCCTCGAAGGATTCGGCTCTAAGGATGGCAGACAAGGGGCAAAAGGCCTTGCACTGCCCACTGGAGGTTCTGGGCAGATGGGCCTGTGAGAAGGCGCAGTCCTGACCCTCCGCCAAGCCATGCCTGGGACGCGCGTTCCGGCAGCCAGGCAGCCTGGAGAGCGAGCACATCCTGGAGAGGCTGTTCCACGGTGTCTGAGACCTTGGTGCCCTCAGACCTCCTGTGCTCTGGCTTGCTTAGCACGACTGCAACTGGGCCACTGGCTGTTCTTTTAGGAGCACCAGCAGCTAAGCCACATTGAAAACCAAAAGAAGAGTAATACTCACAGTCACAACTGACGCCCAGGGAGTCATTGAAGGGAGGAACGGAGGAAGAGAAGGGAAACAAGCGTGAGTGAATGCTCTACAACAGGCCAGCCACACGGGTGCTTGTGTGCCATCCAGGATGAGCACGGAGTGAGAGGAGGAACTCCACGTGAAAGCCACCCTGCTCCGCATGTATGTCTTGCCTTTCTGTGGCAAAACATATTCAGGGTGGCCATATGCAATTTTACATCTCACAAAATAAAGTATAAACCGCAAGAAAGCAGAGTTCCATGTCGTAAGCAGCACATGGAACACGGCATCACGGGCTGTGTAAAACTCGACAGGAGCTTTGCCACAGGGATCCACAGGCTGGGAACCCCTTGCCTGGATTACTGCAATGCACTCTGTGTGGGGCTGCCTTTGAAAATGGTCTGGAGACGCCAACTAATCCAGAACAGGGCAGTGCAATTTTTGGCGAGGACTGGTCCTCAAGAGCGTGTCATGTGGGTCCTCCATTGGCTGCACCGGCTGCCTGTTGCAATCTGGATACCAAGCCCTACATGGGTTGGGGCCACAGTATCTGGGCGAGCACCTCGCTCCAGATAGCCCTTCCCGACCACGAAGAGCGTGGATGGAAGTCCTTCTCCGTGAACCAGCCCCACCAAAGCATGGCCTTCTCTGTGATTGCACCTTTTGTTAAGCGCACCAGGTGCCGCCACTAACTTTTTGGTGCCAGAGAAAGATGTTTTTATTCAGTCAGGTATGTTAGTAGCAAATGGTTTTAACAGAGTTTTAATTTTTACTGCTGTATACCTTGTGATTTCTTTGCCGGTTGTTAGATTTTGCACTGTTTTAAATTGGATTTTATGATTTTAGTTGTTGTTTGATTGTTCTTTGCTGTTTACCGCAAGCCGCACAGAGAGCCCCTTGGCTATGGGGTGGCATATTAACTAACTAACCTAACCTAACCTAACTAACTGTTTAACAGGTAATGCAAAAGTGAGCAGGGGGTTACCTAGTTGGTTGGCTCAACTTGTTAGAAGTCAAGAAAGGCGTTCGAGTGAATCAACTCATGACCAAGGGGGACCAGTCCAGCCGACCACACACCTCGCACGCCCCGAGGGTCCTGGTGGCACAAGTGCCCTGCTGCCCCTCCCGCTCTTGCCATGGGCCCAGAGGCACAGCCACTTGGTGCTCGCTCCCCTCCTCACACACCTGACTCGCCCAAGCTCCAGGCCTACAAATCTAGGTGGGGACGTGCCTACTGCATTCCCCTCTTCCCAGGCTGTCTGGGCTCATTGCAATTTCTCAGCGTAAGACACAAAAGCATCTTTTGAACGACTGCAAAGAGCCCACGGCTGAGTCCCAGTAGCTGCGGTCACCTCAGGGCGCTCTGCAGAGGATGCCAGACACCAGCATGTTTTCCTGCCTGGCATCAGCCAAGGGGGGCTGAGCTGTGACCCCTTCGAAAGCACCTTGGCGGGAGGAAGAAAGGAGACTCACTTGTCCGGCAGTATGGGTACGCGTTCCAGGCCTTTTCGTGAAATACCAGCGAGCCTTCTGGGGCAAACATCCGCACAAACCCAGGCACTTTGCTGCAGGGAACCAGGGGGAGAAATCAGGACATCAGGCATGCTAAGTGAATGTGAGTCCGCCTTTTCAGACAGGCGTTCCTCACCCAAGCGCATCAAACACGATATGCAGTACAAAACATGAAATGCTCTTGCAGGTTAATTCCAGGAATAACAAAGAAAATGTTATTAAAAGGAGCTTCAAGCTAGCGGGGGGGGGGGGGGGGCTTTCGAGAGCGTGAAGTTTCCTGGTAGAAGCACACCTTTCCAGCTCATTCTTTCTAACTGAGACTTGACTGGAACTCTATAATTAATGGATACAACCCCTTCAAGAAAAATAGAAATGACAAAAAGGGAGCTGGAATCACACTATATGCGAGAGACACATATCTCTGCACAGAAATACAAGAAGAGGAACTTAGTTGCCCCACTGGAAGCATCTGGCTAAATTTAAAGGGAGTAAAAAATAAGAAAAACATAGTGGCTGGCATATTATTACCATCCACCCAGTCGAAAAGAAGACAAGGATGCAACCTTTGAAAAGCAACTTGCTAGCATTTCCAAGAACGATGCAGTCATCCTGGGGGACTTCAGGTGCCTTGAGGCATGCTGGTAGACAGATTCTGCCAAGCATGGCCCTTCTAAGAGATTCCTGACATGCGTTGCCAACAACTTCCTCCAGCAGAAAGTAGAGGAAGGTACGAGAGGATCAGCAATCCTCGATTTAATATGAACTAACATGGATGGCCTGGTGGACAAAGTAACAACCATGGGAACTCTGGGGGGAAGTGACCATGCAATACTTGAATTCTCAATGGTAAAGGAGACAAAGGGTAATTGGAGCCAGACAAGCATCCTGGACTTCAGGAAAGCCAACTTTGCTTATAATTTTTCTGAGTTAAAAAAAGTCTGAGTTTTATCCACTCCTGGAGCAGCCAGCGAGGGTGCCTTTCCCAGCCCTTCTAGTTCCTTGCACTCACCCTGCTGCTATCCGCCAAACTTTTTATGGCATGTGCCTTTGCACAAGGGTCAGGAGCTGGGAAAGGAACTTCTAATGCAAACTGCCGAGAAGTGTTGGCATCTTAAAAAGCAGAGGATTCCTGTTGCTATAGAAGGCAGCAGGCAAGCTTGGAGGCGAGGCATCCTTCCTTTCAGATGCAAACAGAGCAACAGCAGCACTGCACCCAGAGCCGGTTACCTCTTCAGGTGGTAGATCTTATGAGTGTACTGTCCCTTTTCGCCATCCTTCTCATAAGGCTCGTTCGTTAAGACTTGAATCCCTTCACCTCCACCTGTTTCATTTTTACTGGCTTCAGCCACAGAATAAAGTTGCCCAACTTGATACTAAGAAGAAAGGACACAAGTGTTAAAATGCTTTTTAAAACGCCCTCTCATCTTTCAGCAGCCCATCAACAGGCCTGCAACAAAAAACCCAGTAAGACCAGGCGCTGCTCCTTTGTGGAAAGACACTTTACACTGGTCTTTGTGGTGTGCCAGCATCTTTTCCAGCACTCCGAGGGGAGCTTTTGGCACCATTCCGCATTTCTCAAGGACATGGACCTAATTTAGCCCCGCTGCCTCCAAACTCAGAGCTGCCAAAGGCAGGAGCATCTTCTGCCTGCCAGCCATGCCTTAGTTTGCTGCTGGGCCACCTTCTGGAGAATGCCCACCCACGTCCGGTGTGCAGCAGCCACTCGGCAAGCGAAGAGCCTCTTGGCTCACGCGGGCCTTTCGGGGAACAAAGCAGAGGAGGAGCGATCAGCTCAGTTCGTAAATCGTATTGTTCTGAGCAGCTGCAGCAAAGACGTTGCCCTTTCCTTGCCTCTGCCACAAGAACCTGAGAGGTTCGTTCTTTGCCAGAGAGAGCAGCAAGCATTCACCGGAGAATGCAGGCACATGGGGAGTGGGAACAGGGAAATGCATACCTCTTGCACAGAGCATGGCAGAACCACCCGGCTGAAAGACAAAACAGAAAAAACAGCTGTGTTAGATGGCCTCAGAAGAGAGCAGGGAAGACTTGGGAGCGTGAGCAGCTCTCTCAGTGTTTGGAGGACTGGGCTGTTCCAAACCTGCTGCCTGGAAGTTGCTCATTCTGCTCCCAAGAAAGTCAAATTTAGCCCTCAGAACAACCCTAACTTGACCAATCATTTATGTAAGGGTACTTATTTTAAAGCATGATTTCTGGGCGGGGCTTCTGAATGGCCTCGTTCAGGCTCCAGAAAGAGGCTGACAACAGAGCGATGCTGAGGGCTAGTAAACTGCTCTTTGTTCAATAACTCTTGTTAATTCTGCTGCAAAAAGTCAACAGCTGAAGCCAGGAAACTTTTAACAGTGGAGGGAGACAAAGCCCTATTCTTTGGCATTTCCATGAGTAAAGCACCACACATTTCCAGTAGGCAGTGCACTATGTAGGGGCAACCCTTTAAAAAAAAAAGAAGACCCTTTCGGTCACTGCTTTAGATTTCTAAGGAGGCAGCGCTCAGCTTTTTTTGCCTCCCCAAACATCTAGACATGTATGGCTGGGCTTTGCTGTACCTCTACAGAGTCTTCAGTTTTATGTTCTGATTGCAAGTTGGCTTGGGGGCCTCGTGGTCAAAGGCAGAACAGGGTCATAAGAAACAGACCAAGAGTGGGAGAAGCCAAGTCATGACTAAACTGAGCGGCTCAGCGGGACATGAAGCTGCCCCTCCTCCACACACATGCAGGATGCCATAGGCTGAATCAGCACAACCACATCTTAAGGGCGCATCTTTCAGCATCACCTGTTAAGCCAAAATAACAAAACCCAACTCCCATCACCGACCTTTTTTGTCTTTTCAAAGTGCACTGTTCCTGCTCATCAAGGGAACGAAAGCAACAAGCATAACCTCTGGCTCCTATCCATTTGACCCCCCCCCCCCCCGAGCACTGGGTGGTAAGCGAGGCTGAGAGTGTGCCTGGCCCAGAGTTATCCAGGGAGCTTCATGGCCTGGAGTCCCAGTCCAGTGCTCTCACCAGTGTGCCACACTGGCTTTTCATGCAAGCATAATAGGTTTGGCTCAAGACTGAAAGCATTCTCCTCCGGCACTAAAGATAGGCAAAGCGATTCCATGGGCCTGACAAGAATCTAGGGGGGCACGGGATCATTTGGATAGCTCACTCTGCGGTTGGACCAGCCCCCACAACTAGCATGGAAAGAAAAAGGCAGGCTGCTTTTCTGAAGCTGAAAGAGTAACCACAAAAAGGGGGCGTAGGGGATGTTCCTGGCGGGGAGACAAGCTCCACCACTAAGTAGGGTATCATGGAAGCGCCCCCTCCCCTCCCCTCCCCCCGCAAAGAGCTGGCCGTCCAGGTGCCTTGCCGAGAGCGAGAATCGTGGCGGCGCCCTTGGCCTGCAGGCCTCCCCGCTCGGCACAACGGGGACCGCGCCGGCTTGCACTCGAGGCGGCGATGCGCCCGGCGCGCAGCTGCGGGCGCTCCCTGGGAGGAGATGCGCGCAAGCAGCCCCACATCCACGCCAGCCCCGACAGGCGGTCTCGGCAGAGGCACGTGCAGCTCGTCCGCACGCGGCTCGGCGGGACGGAAAGGCGACGCTCCGCACGCACGGGGGCGACGCGGTCCGTCCGCGCCACAGCGGCTCTGGCGGGAAGGGCAGCAGCACGCCCTGCACCCGTGGGCCGGCTTCCCCAGGCAAGCGCGGCGGCGGCCCTCCGGCGCGGAGCACACCGGTCAGCCCGAACCGGCGCCGGGAGGACAGCCGGGGCCGAGACGCGCTCGAGCGGAGGCACGACGCGCGCCCTTCCCGGAGCAGCTCGGACGAGACCTGCCGGAGGCCCGGAATCCGGGGCCGCCCTCGCGTGGGGCCCCTTCTGCCGCACTGTCTCCGGTCCGGTCTCTTCCAGCGCCGCCCCTTCGCGCGCCTGCCTGCCTGCCCTGCCTGGAAGATCCTCGCGGGCGGAGACTCGCTTGGAAAGAGGCTGCGCCGTGCTCGGGCCGGCGAGGAAGGGGGCGGGCCGGCGGACGGGCCGGCGGCGAAGGCTCTCCCGGCCGGGGGGACGCGGGGCCTGCTCGGGGGCCGGGCCCAGCGCGCCTCGCTGGTCCCGCGCCTCGCGTGCCCGCCCACCGCCTCGGGCCCTGGACGCGTCCCACCACTCACAATTCCTTGATGAGCACCATCTTCCCGCAGGCAGGAGCCAAACGCGCAGGCGCGACCGGCACCTCCTACCCACACTCCACCGCGGGGCCGGCTTCCGGGAGTTTCGCCCCGCCCCTTTGGAAAAAAACAGCCAGTCGTCGTACAGCGGGGTCGCCCGCTAGCCTCTGGAGCCTATGGGAACGGCGCCTGGCAGAAGCCAAGGTGGCCCCGCCCAGCCCCCCTCCCCCCGCAGCGCGCCATAGCAACTCGGGCGACGGGGGCGGGCCGAGCGAACGGGACAGCTCGCCCGCTAATGGCCAAGCGCCCTGCGACGCTGCTCGGCGCCTCAGCCAATCGGCCCTCGCGCCCACTGAGTTGGCGGAAGGGCTTGCCTAGAGCGACGCTGCGCTGGCCGGTGCGCGGGTGGGCATGGCGCCCCCTTCGCACCCCGGCGCGCAGGGCGGGAACGAGGGCGGCTCGGAGCCCGGTGGGGCGGGAGGGGCCGCCCGAGTTCTGCTCCTGGGAGGGGGCAGCGGAGGCGCGGAGGGAGAGGCCCACCTTGCCTGCTTTAGGCCGGGACCCTCTGGACTCAGGCGGCGGCCTCGTAGTCACGCGGGGCCTGTTCTCGTTCCGCGGCGCCTTGAAGCGCAGGGCCCCGGCCCCGCGGCGGTCCCCGGCCTGGGATGGGTCCCCGCGCGTGCGCTTGCTTGTCTGGAGGCATCGGCGGCCCGGCCCAGATCCGGCCCGGTCCCCGCGAGCGACAAGGGCGTCCAGGGCTGCGCGGCGGTCTGGTGGGGGTAGCGGCGAGTGGGGCCGCGGGGGGGGGGGGGCTGCTCCCTCCGTCGCTGCCGGGGCCGTTTGCGGCGGCGCGTCGAGTCCCGAAGTCGCCTCTCCCGTTCGCGAGAGCCGGAGCAGCGAGGCAGAAGCCCCGCCGCGGAGGGCCTTCCCGTGCCTCGCCCGTCGGTGCTGCGGGAGGGCACGCGTGGCAGGAGCCTGGTCGTTCTCTGACAGCCGCCTGGCCGACACCCCACGATGGTCGTTCCAGGGTAGAGGCGGATCGCCTTGGCATAAAACCCGCTCTGTGTTTACTCTCGGCAGGGTCTTGCTAAGGGCAGAGGCCCCGAGGAGCAGCTTGGCACCTGCTCCATTGGCCCAGTGCGCTGCACGCTTTCATCGGGTTGTGGGTTTCTAGGAAGCTGCTCCAGCGCACTCTTGGCAGGAAGTGGCGTTCTGGCTGGGGCCGTTCATGGCACAGACAGGACACCAGGCTGAGAGATCTCATGCTTTAATAGACACGGAAATCACAAAGGAGGAGGCCAAATGCCTTAGCAATTGCAATAAAAATAGGAAATTATTTTTACAGGGTAAACTTCATAATATAAAAAGTTTAATGCTGTCTGGAAACGGAGTTTAATTTACAAAAAAGTCCATATAGGCCAAATACGGCAGATGCTGCATAAAGAACAGAGTGCAGAGGAGTGGCTTTTGGCCAGGGGTGTCTGATTGCATGTGTGAAAGAGAGGCAGGGTGAGATTTGCCCCATGCACCCATGAACAAAAGGCCCATCATACAAAATCACATAACCTAGAGGCAAAACAGGTGGGCTGCAGGGGTCCCTGTGGAGGCAAGCTGTGTGGGGAGGGGGGCAGGACTTGAATGCCAGTTTCCAGCACCGCCTTTCAGGTGCAGGCGAATGATGCCACTGGCACTGGCCGGCTGCAGACAGCCAGTGGGACCAGGCTGGGGGGCTCTGGACCACCCCCACTCTGACTGACTGTTGGGCAGCATGGGAAAGTGTCTTTTGCAGGGCAGTGAAACCAAACAATGGTTTGGATTTGCATGTGGCAGAACTCTGGTGGGAGCAGCCCATCAAACCTAATGCTTATTGCTCACTGTGAAAGCAGTGTTGTCACTGTACATGCACAAAAACGACAATCAGGACGACGACAAACGGGAGGAGGGGCCTGTTACCACTGTAGTGACTCAACGGGCAGGGACTCTGCTTCCTGAATTTCCCCGCATGACCACCAAACCTGTTACATTCTCATTTCCACCACTTGTGAAGCACAGACTTGAAGTGCTGGCTGAGGGGCAGAGATCCGGGCTGTGCCAAGGGAGTTACACAAAAGCAGGGAGACCCCAGACTCCATGGGAAGGTCCAGGGTGTGCCACCTTCCCTGCTGAAGTGTGGGACCTGCACCCAGAAAAGTGGGGAGGGCTGGGGCCACACTGAGCTGAGGAAGCAATTACTGTGTCTTGTCCCAGGACAATGGCAGCAGCTCAGGAAAGCACCACTTTGAAAAGGACGCCTGCCTTCAAGGGCAGGGATGGAAGCACGCTGACTCTGGAGGACGAGAGGACAAGGCTGAAGGCTCTTACCGAAAGTGTTCTCCAGCTGCCTCAGAGTGACTTTGCATAGGGTAGAGAGAGACTGGCAGCCGGTCCAGCCACAGTGTGGCAGCAGCTTAACCCACAGGTGCAGGAGTGGTGGGGCACGGCTGGGGCTCCGCTTGGGGGCGCATTTTGGAAGAGATCCTGAGGGCTCAGAGGTGGGAAAAGGGAAAGACAAGCAGGCATGGGCTACCCGGGAGTCCGAGAGCAGGAACCAGACCACGCCCCTCCCTGCTCAGCACCAGTGCCGGCTTCCCAGACCAGGGACACGCTGAGAGTACACAAGCTTTGCTCTCCAGGCTGAAGGTGGCTCCTACAGGCTCCTACGGAGGCTGGGGCTGTTCTGCAGGCCCTCTGGCTTGGTAGCCTTCCACGGAGCCACGGTCCTGTGGGCCAGCAAGGGGTGCAGCTTGGCTACTCCCAGCACAGGCCACTGTGGGAGGGGCCTCTCCTTTGTGCTTGGGCTGAGCAGCCTGGAGCTGAGCTTCAGCCGCCTTGGGAAGGAGGGCAGCCATGATGCCTGCGGTTCTGTGGTGAGGCCAGCGGACAGGTGAGCCAAGGAGAGCCCCCTGGGGGAGCAAGTGCCGCTTGCAAGCCCCACCCGGGGGGCGGGCAGCCCCTTGCTGCTGCAGGGCCAGCTTCATCAAGGCGCAGCAGCACTTTTCTCCGAGGAGAAAGGAAGACACACACGAGGTCCCCAACCTGCAGCTGTCCCGGCTGCCTCATGCAGCTCCCCTGGAGTAAACTCCATCTTTGCGAAGGATGCAGCCTGCCGTGTGTTCCTCCACAGCAGCTCCCAGGCAGCCCTGCCCCACCTGGCCAGGAAGCCCTCTGGGCCTGCAGGAGGGCTGCCCCCCCCCAACCGCCCCCAGCTTCTCCCGTGGCCAGCCAGGCATGTTTCGCAGGAGAAGCAGTGCTGCAGCCCCCTTTCCGCACGCTGCCCTTTCTGGAAGCATTGAAAGAAATGGCTTCTACCTCTCATCGGAGAAAGGACCGCGCGTTTCCTGGCAGAGCCCCCTGCAGTCCTGGACAAGCCCCCACACTCCTGTCCAAACCTGGTGGGAGGACGTGGCCGCGGCAGAGGAGAGCAGGCAGGGCTTGCCGCACTCCACGGGGCCTGCCCCCGGCCGGGCCCTCCTTGCGCAGGGCTCCAGTTTCCCCCCTTGCTCCGCAGTATTCCGTCTCGCTCAAGCAAGTGGGCAAGCGAAAGGCCCGGAAACTTGGCCCAGTCGGAGGAGCAGGTTGCAAAGAGATCTCAGCACTTGGAGGAAGGGAAGAATCGCCCGGGCGACAGGAACTTGTATCCGTTCCCGGAGGGCAGCCGTACGGGATGCACCAGGCCCGGTGTGCTGGTGTGGGGGGGCGCGGCAGCCAGGGGACTGGCAGGGTCAGTGGGCCGCCTATGTCCATTGGGGGGGTTCCTCTGGGGAGGAGAGAGGTGTTGAGGTGCAGACAGGTCCTTCAGCTCCAGCTGATCCGTGGCCGTGGCCACCACGGCCTCCCGGTTGTGCCGTGGAGACAAGTTCAGCAGGCTCAGCACATCCCTCCGGCTGGCCGCCCTCCCCGAGGAGCCCCGGAAGGCCTTCCCGGGGCTGCTCTGCCAGAACATCTTCAGGTTGTGGGTGGCCTGCACCTTCTCGTCTACAGCCGGGGCATCGGCGGGGCTGGACCGGGTAGAGCTCGCGGAGGAATAGGAAAGGGCCGGGGAGGGTGTGCTGCCGGTGGGGGAGTGATGCCCTGAGCTTGGGGAGGTGTTCTGGGGCGACTTGGAGATGTGGGTGCTATAGGGCGAGCTGGGGTACTTGAGCCGGAGGAGAGGCGGGCCCAGCGCCGGGGAGTCGGCGCTGGGGGACGGCTGGCCGCTGCGCGGGCCCAGGCCTTCTCTGGCCGAGGCCTCCGAGGTGGTGGGGCTGTTGTAGCCCGAGCTGACCTTCTGCAGGGAGGAGCTCCTGGTGGGGGGCCTGGGCTTCAGGGGCGTCGGGGACGGCGGGCCCTTGTGGCCGGAGCACAGTGGCCTGCTGAAGGCGCTGGTCTCCGAGGCGCGGAAGGAGGCGGCGCGGCCCGTGGGCACGGAGACGCCGTTGTCCAGGCTGCCGCTCTTGCCCAGCCGGCGGCTGCCGCTGCGCTGCAGGTGCTCCACGGCCAGGAGGTGGCTCTGGGTCTCCTCCAGCACCTTCTGGGCCAGCGCCTGCGGGTCCAGCCCCGGACTGCTCTCCTCCTCCTGGGATTTGACCGTGCTGTCCGTTTCCGTGCTGGACTGGTCCGACTCGCCCGTGTCGGAGCCTGCAAGCCGCCCCACCTTTTGGAAAGGGGAGTTGGGGCTGGGGATGAGCGTCATTTTGACTGGCGAGTTGGGGGAACTGACGCTGCCCTTGGAGCTGACGCAGCCCTTGGCCGCGGCAGCCTGATGAATCCGGGAGGATTTCGGGCTGGGGGAGAACTGTGCCGGGCCGGCCTCCGGGGACGCCGCCAGGGGCTCGTTGCTGACGATGGAGAAGCCCTCGTACTCCTCCTCCTCCTCCTCCTCCTCCTTGCCGGGGACCGAGCTGCTCTGCGGCCCAAAGGGGCCCCGTGGCAGAGGTGCCCGCTGGGCGTAGACGGTCTTGGGCCGCTCGGGCTCCTGGCGCCCCTTGGAGGGGCCGCCTTCGGACACACACTCGGCCTTGGAGGCAAAGCTGACGGAGGAGGTGATGGAGCTCAGGCTGTACACCGAGATGGCATCCGAGCCCAGGCTGTCGGGGCACGTCGGGGAGAAGGGCGGGTTCTGGTAGCTGAGGGGCCCAGGGTTGGAGGTGGACTGAGCGGAGGCCAGCGATTCGAGGGACGAGGAGCTGTCCAGGCTCAGCCGCTTGGGGAGCTCCGTGGAGTCTGAAGGAGGCAAAGGCAAAGGCGAAGGGAGCTCAGGCCATGCTTCGGATGCCCCAAGCCGCTCCAAGCGCTTCCCTGGGCGCCGCGGGGCCTGCCTTCAGGCGCCGGGCGTGACGAGGAGGCCCTCGGAGGAAAGGCTGCATGGAGCCTCGGGAGCAGCGTCCACGAAGGCCTCGAGCACCCCAAGCCACCCGCTGGCCGCCCCCTTCTCTCCCCTCCAGCCTGTAAGCGACCGAGGCTGTTTTGTGGCCTGTTGAAGGCACAGCCAACCGCAGAACAAGAGCAGGCAGAAGACGGGTGCCCCAAGCCCGGAGGGCGGCTGCCCGGCCCTCTCCCTGCCCCCGGGGCCCCTCCTGCCCTGCCCTCGGGATCGGCCTGGGCCCGGGCCGGGTGCCTGCTGGCCACAGTGCCCCCGCCCCACGGGCCACCAGGCGGGTCCCTCACCGAAGAGCGCCAGAAGGGCCTGGAGCGCGAAGTGCATGGTCCGGCGGCTGGCCTGCTTGCCCGTCTTCAGCGTCACCTCCTCTTGCCCAACTTCACAGAGGTCGAAGCCTGCAAGCGGCGCACCCTTCAGGCCACAGCTGGGGGGCACCGGGGGACCCGGAGACCTGCCCCACCAGCCCAGTGGCGCTCAGCCCCGCTGGACAGGGTCGAGGGAGCGGGGGCCCTGCCCTGCCCTGCCCTGCCCTGCCCGCCCAGCCGGCCCCATGCTGCCCCGCTCCCCCTCGCCCTGTGGGTGTCCCAGAGGCGTCCTACCTAATGCTGCAAGGAACTCGTGGCAGCCTGGCAACCGCCAAAGCTGGACGCTGATGGAGACCTGGATGGGGGCCAGCGGGAAGTCCTGCTCCTTCTCCCCAGCCTGGAGCTGCACCAGCACTTGATGGAGCTGAAGGGGGGACACCGGTCAGTGGCCACGGGGCCCTCCTGCTCCCCCCCAGTGCTTGGCCTGAGCAGCAGAGGTGGGGCCGAAGCGGTGTGGGTGAGTGCGCGGGAGGGGTGAGGCTGCACGGGGCAGGCAGGAGACGGCACCGCCCTCCAGGTGAGGGCAGGGCTGCCCCACGCAGTGGGAAGGCCACCGTGCCCGGCCCGCCCCCGCCCGGCCCCTACCACGAAGGGCGGGAGGGCTGAAGGATGGTGCTTGTACTCACCATGCCCACCATATTTTTAACAGCCTTTGGGAAGCAGAAAGTTGGGGGAGAGAGAAAGAGAGGGGGTTTAGCGCCAGGAAAAGGTGCAACGTGGCAGCCCGGCGGGGGGAGGTGGGGGCCCTGGGGCCCCGGCAGGCTCCCAAGACCAGCGGGGTGACCCTTCCGGAAGCGACCGCTCCTGCCACGCACGGCACTCACCCGGCTGATGAGCTGCTCCCCCGTCTCGGAGGCGGCGATGAGCTTGCACAGGGCCTGCAGGGCAGCGCTAGGCAGACCTGTGGAGGGAGCGGGGGGCCGGTCACGCTCAGCAGGGCGGCCGCGGCGGGGCGCTCGGGGCCCACGGCTGCCCCGGGAGCCCCCGGCACTCACCGAGCAGTGACTGGATGGTGCTGCTGCACTGCTGCAGCCGGTCTCCGGGGTCTGCGGTGGGGAAGAACACGGCCGCCGGAAGCCCGCTGGCGGGGGGGTCCAGCCGGAAGCCAACGGCTGTCAGCAGCGCCTGCCAGCCCGGAATGCCGCCCACCTTGTTCTCCACGCTCTGCTGCGAGGTGTACATGGAGTTGTGCTGCCCGCTGTGGATGCGCTGCAGGGACTTCTCCACCTGGCGTGGGGGGAGGCCGCCGTGAGCGCCCCTCATCTTGCCAGGCGTCCCCACCCCGGGCCCAGCCGCCCCCTGCGCCTCCCGCCCCCTCACCAGGTGCAGCAGGACCCGCAGGGCGTCGCGTGCCCGCTCCGGGTGCTGGAGGATGTCGGTCAGCGCCTGCCCCATCAGGGAGGAGGGACTGCTCAGCTTCACGTCGCTCCCGATCAGCACGAAGCCTGCAGGAGAAAAGGGGGCTTCGGCAGCAGGCCTGGGCCCGGCCACGAGCGCAGCCTCCGGCAACAGAGGCTCTGCACTCTGTCCGCATCGGGAGGCACCCCGGCCGTGCCCCCAGCCCAGGTCCTGTGGCCCGGAGAGGGAACTCGCAGCGGCCAAAGCTGCCCGGCCGGGCAGGGGAGGGCTCCCGCCCCTCTGCTCACCTGCCCAGTTGCTCGGGTGGGAGAACGGCTTGCTGTTCTGCACGGACTTCATGGCCTCCCCGAGGGCCGCGCTGGCCTTCAGGCCGCCGAGCAGCGCCGTGTAGAAGGCGTGCACGAAGGCCTTGGAGGCTGCCACCGGCACCGGCCACAGGGATGCCAGGACACAGTGGGCGCCGGCCGCCAGGAACGCGCGCGTCAATCCGATCAGCCCGTCGGCGGTGACCTTGCCGTGCGACTCCTGGTAGGAGCCGAGCACCACCAGCCTGACGGGCAGGCGCAGGTCCAGCACGTCGGCGGCCGTGAGCAGGAACTCCTGCAGCGGCGGGCAGTCGGAGAGGCTCTCCGCATCGCTGGCGTCGTCCTGCACCCTCAGCGACTCCGGGATGGTGTAGGTGTGGCCGAAGGAGCCTTTGCCGCCGCCGCCGCCCGTGCTGCTCTCGCTGCTGGGGGCGAGGACCAGGGCGGCCAGCTTCCAGGAGACGTGGGTGGCGAAGTGGGCACACTCGGCCTGGGCCAGCGCGCTCACCACGCGCTCCTTGGTGGCCAGGCTGCCGACCAGGGGCTGGCAGCCCAGCAGCTCCGAGACGGTGTAGGCCTCCTCCTCGGCCGAGGGCATGGGCCCCCACAGCCAGCGGTCCATCACCGAGGCGGGCAGCCTGGGGTTGCCAACAACCGCCGCCATGGACGGGGAGCCGCCGCAGCTGAAGGCGCCCTTCTTGGCCTGGCTCTGAAGGAGAGGGAGCCCATCACAAGCCGCCCGGGGAGGGGGGCTTCCTCCCTGTGGCACCGGCCCCGTCCTCGGCTTTTGACCCCCATGTCACCGTGAGCCTCAGCAAGCCCCCCGTCGTGACGCTCCGGCAGTCCTGCGGCCTGTGAGCCAGAGACCGCGTCGCAGGCCGCTTCGGACGAAACCGGCGGCTCTGAGCCCACGTCCCTCCCCTGCAGCTGTCAGGATCTGGGCTGCTCTGGCTCTCTGCCGGTGGCCAGGCGCCTCCCTCAGCAGTCGCAGGATCGGTCCCAGCCTCTGGATGCACGCCAGCCAGGAGCAAGAGCGAGCCGTCCCCCAGTGACTTCCCTCAGCAGCACAGCCGCTCTTTGGCCGTGGCACCCGCCTCCTGCCTGACCCAGGTGCCGCCTCGCTTAGCGTGTCCTGCCTGGCTGCCTCACCTGAGCAGCCAGCCAGGTGGCCAGAGTGCCAGCCACACACCCCGGGGCCCAGAGACCGGGCACGCCGGGGGCGGCTGTGGGGTGTGCCGAGGCAGGATGGGAGGAGGGTGGTCGCGGTCCATCTGGCTGGTGCTGCCAACCCTGACTGGCAGCAGTGCCCCCCCCCCGGCCCCCACTACCGCTGGGATCTTTCCCCGGCCCTCCGGGCTGCCTTCAAGGACCAAGGCAGCAGCCTCAGCAGGCTGAAGCGGGGCTGCTGCGAGTCACAGCCCGGCCTGGCCCACCCCGCCTGGCCCCACGGCCCGGGGCAGCGCTCCCACCTTGGTGCTGGCGCTCAGTGCTTGGACGGAGGGCACTGCGATGAGGTTGAAGCGCTCGTGCAGGTACTCGTTGGAGGAGCTGCCCTTCAGCAGCGCGAACGGGATGAGGTAGAGCTCCCCCTCCAGGACCAGGACGAGCTGCCGGTGCCGGCCCACCGGCCCGCTGGAGTGCATCAGGCCCTGGAGCGGAGGGGCACGTTTCAGGCGGGGTGCTGGATGGCACGGCCCCCTGCCCTGGCACCCACGCAGCCTCCCCGCGGGGCCCGGCCCCACTCTCATGCCCCACTCACCCCCTCCATGGGCCCGATCAGCAGGTCGTAGAGGGCGCGCAGCGGTGGCTTGCCGAAGGAGGGGAGCCGCCGGGGCAGGGAGGAGGTGAGGGGCGCCTCCTTCACCGGGGAGGCCGGGCGGCTGGAGAGGCTGTTCACACTTTGGCAGCTCCTGTGGCAGCGAGACACGCAGGCGAGGCTGGGCGCAAAGCCCCTCCATGCAGCAGCGAGCCCCCCCCCACCCCCACAAGCCTGGCACACACGCTTGGTCCCCAGTGGCCTCCCTGGGGCGCTGACGGGGCCAGGGGGATGGCTGTTTGTCCCAGCGGTGCCTGTGGGGGGCAGGCAGGCCAGCCCCAGTGCCCAGCCCCAGCCCTGCCCGGCAGGCAGCCCCAGGGGGTGGTGCCCCCCGTCCTCGAGCGCGGGCTCCACGCCACCCTGATCCTTGCCCTCTCCAGGGCCCTCACGCCTCCTGACACGAGGGCTGGCTCGAAAAAGAAGAGGCGCTGGCTGCAAAGCTGCCAGGCAACCAGCAGAGGGCGGCAGCGGCCCACAGCCGCCTGTGCGAGGACTGGTTTGGGGGCTGCTGATGCTTGGCAGCCCTGCAGGAAAGCTGGCGTTCCTGCCCTCAAATCGAGTCCCCACCGGGGTCGACAGATTCTGGAACATGTGTCTGCACTTTAAAAATGCTTTTTAAATACATAGCTTTAAAAGTGCACATTTTGCACCCAAACCCTTTCCCGGGTGGACGTCTGGAACGTTGAGGACAGGATGGAAAGGAGGGAGGGAGGTGGGCCAGGGGGCACCACCGGGGGAAGCGTCAATGGCGGCGGGGGCGCGGGGGTCCTTCTCTGCCGGCACCAGCAGCCCCCTCACCTGTTGAAGAGGTTGTTCCTGTTGACCATCCTCAGGAAGCCCGTGGGGTCCGCTGCAGAGCTCGGCTTGCTGCTTGCGTCCTCCGGCTGCTGGTCCATGATGTCTCCTGCCTCGCTCTCCGTCTCGCTGCTGGCGGAGGGGCTTGGGGAGGAAAGGAGGCAGAGGCATCAGCGGGATCGGGGCAGGCTTCTGCGGGAATGGGGGTCGGGGTGGTGGACCGCCCGCCCGCCCGCCCGCCCGCGCTCCCAGCCATCCCACGGGGACGGCAGAGAGGCTCGGAGAGGGCCTTGGGAAGAGTCGTGGAAGGAGCGCCTGGGATGGGCTTGGACCCTCCTGTCCGCATCTTCCCAGCCCCTGCAGGGCACAGATGGCCACTGGCTGAGCGTCTCCTGCCAGCCAAGCCGAGCCCTGGACACGAGGACACCCCCCGTCCCCAGCAGCATTTCCCCGTGGGTCCCAGGCCGAAACTCACCGTACGTAATAGGAGTCCACTCCCAGGGCCTCCCGCACGCCGGTGCTGAGCTGCTCCAGCACCGAGCTGGTGACCGCCTGGAGGCCGGCACTGCCCTCCTGGGAGTCCTCGGGGTTCTCCGCTGGGCCGTCGCCCAAGTAGCACTCGTGGAACTTCAGGATCCCTAGAGGCGTAAAGACGGGCCATGCCGCAAAACCGCCTGCACGCAGGGGCTCCTCGAGGACCGGGCTGCCCACACAACCTACCTGCTCCCGGGGCCAGCAGCCAGCTGTAGAGGTGGCCCGCGGCCAGCGAATAGTAGAGGACCAGTCCCCGCTGGCCGTTCACCGTCTCCAGCACCTGGTCCACCGTCACAGGGGAGTAGGGGTCTGCGTCCTGCTGCCCCGTCTGGCGCTCCACCAGCAAGTCGGCAAAGGCCCTTGTGCGGCCCCGTTCGGCCACCGCCAGCGCCTCGTCGTGGTGCCCTGTGAAGAAGCGGGCGGCTGAGCGGGGCCACGTGAGGGCCAAGTGGGACACCAGCGCAGCCAGAGGCCCCTGGCCAGACAGGGTTGAGGCGGAGGGGGCTGCCAGGCCGGGCCTCAGCACACGCCCCCCACCATGCATGCCCAGGCCTCACTCACCCAAGCTCACCAGCACCCGCTGCAGAGCCTCGTATGAGGAGGTCTGCAGGTCGAAGAGGGAGAGTTTATAGTCGGTGCTCAGCCGCCCCTCATGCCGGATGGACTCGAAGAGGGCCGAAGCCCGGTAGAGCTGCAAGAGGAGCAGGGTCAGCTGGTCAGCCTGGCCTCTGGGCACGTCCTGAGCGCAGGGTGTGCCCCGTCCCATTGCTCGGCTCTGGGGGCGAGCGAGCAGTGCTCCTGCCCTCCCTCGCTGCGGGGGGGTGCTCACCTGGTGCTGGGCCTCCTCCAGGTTCCCGCTGGCCCAGAGAGAGAGGCCCAGGCCGTGCCGGATGCGGGCCTCGTCCTCTCTGCGCCCCAGCTGCTCCGCCAGCCGCAGCCCTGCAGAAGCGAAAGGGGGTTGGGTGGAATGGATGCAGGGGGCGCTCGGCCCCCTCTGCCACTGCCCCGCCGTCCAGGGCCTCGTTTGCCCTCCGGCATCCTGGCACTCGCCGCCGGCGGAGACCCCTGCTGTAAGAGGCTTTGCCACCGGAAAGCGAGCTGAGTGGCTGCTCTGCCTCCGCCTGAAGGGCAGGGCAGAAGCTGGGCAAGCCCCGAGGAGAGCCGCTCGGCGCCTGTCCGTGCGGTGCCCAGCCGGGACACTCAGATCCTCTGCTCAGGGGCGGGAATGCCCCAGCTGCCACAACGGCCCCGCTTGCCAGGCGGCTGGTCCCCTTGGGCGGACCAGGCCACTCACCTTCCTGCAGGTACATCACTGCCTGGGCATAGTTGCGCAGGGCGTGGTGCGTGCGGCCCAGGCTGCTGTAGGAGGCGGTCTTGGCCACCAGGTCGTTCATCTGCGCAGCAATGCTCAGGTGCTGTTCCTGGTAGACCACGGCCCTCTCGAAGGTGCCCAGCGACTCGTAGGTCAGGCCCAGGTTCCCGTAAGCCCGGCTCTGGCAGGCTGGGTTCCTGGTCTCCTCGGCGATCTGCAGGTCCAGCTGGTGGTACTCCAAGGCCGTGTCGTATTCGGCCATCTGCTGGTAGACGCTGCCCAGGCCGCAGGCTGCGCTGCCCTCCAGGGCCTGGTCCTTCATCTCCCGGGCGATGCCCAGCTGGCGCTCCAGGCAGGAGATGGCCTGCTCGTAGTTGCCCAGCTGGCTGTGCAGCGTGCCCAGCTCCCCGTACGCCTGTGCCTTGTCGAAGGCCTCCCCCAGCTCGTGGGCCACCACCAGCCTCTTTTCGAAGCAGACCAGAGCTTGCTGCAAGCTTCCCATGGACCTGTGAGGTTGCACCAGCGCCCAAGATGGAGGTTGCCCTGGGAGGCGCCTCGGCCAGCCTCCCCCACTCCGGCCGAGTGCCCGACAGCCCCGGAGGGCCACTCAGTGGGAAAGGGAGGCCAGCTGAGCGCTCCTTCCGCCCGCCCGCCCGTGCTGGCGCCGCACGCATGGCCCCGGGTCCTCCCCCGACCTGCCCGGGCGCCCTTACCTGTGCCCGTTGCCCAGGCCCCGGTAGGCCTTGACCTGGTCCTGCGTGCGGTTCAGGCTCTGCGCCACGCTCAGGTACTGCTCGTAGTGCTTGACGGCCTCCTCGAAGTCCCCCAGCATCTCATAGCAGTCGCCCAGGTTGCCGAAGGCGCGCCCCCGGTCCAGCAGGGCCTCGCTGCCGCTCAGCTGCTGCAGCGTGGCCAGCTGCTGCTCGAAGTAGCCGATGGCCTCCTCCGGGGCGCTCGTGTTCATCTTGGTGATGCCCATGTTGCCGTAGACCTGGGCCTCGATGCCAGCGTCCCCGAGCCTCTGGCCCTGCTCCAGCTGCTCCTCGTAGCACTTGAAGGCCATGGTGTACTTGCCCAGTGCCATGTAGACCGCGGCCAGGTGCCCGTGGGCCCGGCACTCGCCCAGGGCCTCCCCTAGTTCCTGGTACACCTCCAGCTCCTGTGTGTGGTAGCCCAGCGCCTTGTCGCACTTCTGCAGCATCCGGTGCGCGGAGCCCAGGGCCGCGTAGGCGCTGGCCTCCAGCTTCCGGTCCTTGACCTGGTGGGCCAGGCTGAGCTGCTGCTCGTAGAACCGGACGGCCCCGCCGACATCCTTCTGGCAGACGGCGATGTCGCCCAGGTTGCCCAGCGCCCGAAAGGTGGCCTGGGAGTTGCCGAGGGACTGCGCGAGCGACAGCAGGTACTTCTGGCACTCCTCGGCCTTCCTGAAGTTGCCCAGGGCTTTGAAGGCCAAGCCCAGGTTGCAGAAGGCCTTGGCTTGGCTCAGCTTGTCGTGCAAGTCCTTGGCCAGGGCCAGGTCCTGCTCGTAGTACTTCACGGCCTCCTCATAGTTGCCCAGGCAGTAGTGGGCATAGCCCAGGTTGTGGCACACCTTGCCCTCACCCTCCATGTCCTGCAGCTCGGGGGACAGCTGCAAGTACTGCTCGTAGTAGGGGGCGGCCTGAGCAAACTCCCCTCGGGAGCAGTGGAAGCTGCCCAGGTTGGCCAGGGCCCGCGCCTCGCTCTGGATGTCCCGCAGCTCCCGGGCGATGTGCAGGTGGTTCTGGTAGTGCTGCAGGGCACGGTCGTGGGCCCCCAGCGCCTGGTAGGCCACGGCCAGGTTGCCGTGGGTGGAGGCCTGCGAGGCCCGGTCGTTCACCTCCATGGAGATCTGCAGCTCCTGCCGGTGGTACTTGACCGCCTGGTCGAACATGCCCAGGGCGTGGTAGGCGTTGCCCATGTTGCCGTAGGACCGGCCCTGCGCGGCGTAGTCGTTCAGCTCCTGCACGATGGACAGGTGCGCCTTGTGCAGCTGCAGCGCCGTCTCGTAGTCGCCCTTCATCTGGTGGATGATGCCTGCGGGCAGAGCGCGCGGGTCAGCGGGAGACCTCGGAGCCGGAGAGGGAAGCTGCCAGGGCCGAGCGGCCGGGCCGGGCGGCTTCGGCCGCTGCCTCCAGCGGGCGAGGACGCCCTCCGCTTCCCTGCAGCCAGCCGCACCGAGAGTCGTTCCTGAAGCTGGAGAGGGAGCGGCCCCCGGCCAGAGCGGTCCGCACTCGAGACGTGCTCCAGCTCTCTCGCCGGGGAGCAAACGGAGAGGCGGCGCACAGCAGAGCGCAGAGCAGTGGCCTGGCTCCGGGCAAGGGAAGGGCGGCTGGAAGTGCTCGGCCGAAGGAAGGGGCAGCGGGGCGAATGGGAGCAGGGAGAGCCCTTGGGAAGGAATGTGCCCATGTGTGGCCTGGCCGGCAGCGGCTGCCCAGCGGCCGCACCAGCTGCCCATGGGTCAGCAGAGCGGAGGCTGCGACGGCCGCGATGCCGCCCTGCAGCCTTGCTGGCTGGCCTGCGGCAGGGCTGAGGCAGTGGAGCAGCAGCCCAGCCCTTCGCGAACGCCGATGGCACTCCGGGGTGCCTGCAGCCATGCCTGGTTGCCGGCGGCCATGGCGCCGTTTTCTCTTGCCAGACCCCACTGGCCCTGCTGCTGCTCTGCCTGAGGCACTCACAGCCCGCCAGCAGGCGGCTGGCCACCAGGCAGAGCACCGGCTGGGGCGTCAGAGCAGGCTGCTCCCGCAGGCCCTGTGCACACGGCTCTTGCAGGGGCAGACGGCACTCCCAAACTCTCCGGGCACAACGCCCCCTACCATGCCATGCGTTGGGACTGGGAGCCATCTCTGGGGAAACGCGGAGGAGCCTCGCTCATCCCCTTCCATGCGTATGTGGGGGGGGGGGTTCTGGGCCGCAGAGCCCAGCCAAGGCAGCCCGGACCACCGTGCGCAGCTGCGCTCCCCAGAGGGGCCAGTGGGGCCCAGTGGCCACCCCAGCTGCTCCCCACGGGGGCCCTGAGCCCTGCGGAGGCGACCGCCCTTCTGCACGCTGGGCCCTCCTTTGGCTTCAGCCGCTGCGATGCCAGGCTCCTGCCGATCTGCGTCTCCCCAGGAGCCAGCCCTGCGCATGTGAGGGGGAACCCGCACCCCCCATTTCGGCACAGGGTGGGAACACCCACCAAGGGCCATCCCTCGCTGTGGTTTGGCCTCCTGAGCCCCTCCAGTTCCAGGCAATTACGGCCCCTCTCTGTAACTGCCCCCCCCCAGAATCCGCATGCTCCGGGGGGGCGGGGGGCGGGGGATGACCTCAGCCAGAAAGCTTCTCTTGGAGCAGCCGCCAAGGAAACCCGAGTCGCTGGGCTGAGTCAGCAAGAGGTGCTGGGCTGACCCGGAGAGGAGAGGAGAGGAGAGGAGAGGAGAGGAGGGGAGAGGAGGGGAGGGGAGGGGAGGGGAAGTGCCGGGGAGGTGGCACCGCCCGGGGGAGAGGCTCCCGTGCTGGAGAGAGGCCTCGCGGAAGCCAGGCGCGGAAACGCGGAGACCCCGGGTGCCTGCAGGGGTAGGGCGCTGACCGTGGTGTGTGCCGGGCACGGGGGCAAGCTCGCTCAGGCATGCGGCCACTGGGGCATCCCTCAGGGCAGGAGCAGGGCAGGCGCAGGCAGAAGCCGCCTCCCCGTCTGGAGCAAGTGGGGGCCCAGCGGAGCCTTCCCCGTGCCCGCACCTGTGCCTGGGGGGAGGCCAATGCCCATGCCCATGCAGAGGCTTGCGGTCCTCCTCACCACCTCCCCCCGTGCCCCGGCACCGGGCTGCTTCCGGAGGGCTCCTGGCCGGAAGAGCAGCCTGCCCCCCCACCCCCGTGACCAGCTGTGGGGCTCAGCCGATGGCTTGTGCCCCCCTGGCTGCGAGACGGTGAGCGAGAGACGGGGCCTGGGTACCCAGGAGGGGGGTGGAATGAGGCGCCGCTGCCCTTCCGATGGGCCCTGCCATGTCCTCTCCTCAGCTCAGTTCGCGGAGGGACGTGACCCTGGCCGGACAAGCCCCCTGTGCGTCTGCAGCAGGTGGGGCGGCTCAGAGCAGGCGTGCACATTTCCGTGGCACGTTGGTGGCTACCAGGGCAGGGGCCCGGGGCCGGTTCTGAGAGGGGGCAGCCAGGGCGCCCGGCCCGCAAGCGGACGCACCCTCCTGCTCCAGCTTCCCTCAGCTGGCTCCGGCTTCTTCGAGCAAGCTTCATGCAGAGGATGCCCTGGAGGTGCCACGGCCACCATCCAGGGTGCGCAGGGGAGCGGCCATAGCCAAGAGCGGGGAGTGTCGGGGCCGCAGAACAACCCCCCCCTCTGGCTTTCGCCCTCCTGTGACGCTCACCCTGAAACCCGGGCCTTTTCCTTCAAAGCACCCTGGCCGCCACGTCCCCTCTGTGCCGGCCGGCCTGACCCATCCACACGCCATGAGCAGAGGGGCGCCGTGGGGAGGATGCGCGGCTGCCCAGGGACCTGCTCCCTCTGCCAAGCTGTCGGTTGGCTGAGACTGGAGGAGGTGAGAGGGAGCGCCCCTCCTGTGCCACGTGGGACCCTCCTGGCGGCCCCCCAGCCTCTCCCACGGCCTTCCAAGCCACCTTCCTGCCCAGAGATGCCAGCCCAGCCGGTTCATAAACATGATTCCAACTCAGGCAGAGCCACCGAGCGCACTCACACACAGGCGGCGCCAGCCGTGGATGCATTCGAGGAGCTCGGCTGGGGCTGGAACGCGCACCTGCCCTTACCGAGGTTGGAGGAGGCCCGGCCCTCGGCAGCCCGGTCCTGCAGGCTCTTGGCGATGCCCAGCTGCTCCTCGTGGTACTGCTTGGCCCGCTCCAGGTCCTGCATGCAGCGCGCGGCGTGGCCCAGGCCGGCGTAGGCGCGCATCTCGAAGGACTTCTCCTCCAGCTGCCGGGCCAGCTCCAGGACGTGGTTGTGGTAGGACATGGCCTTGTCGAAGTTGCGCCGGTAGTGGTAGGCGCTGCCCAGGTTGCTGTAGGCACGGGCCTCCTCCCGCCGGCTGCCCAGCGCCTTGGCGATCTCCAGGTGCTGCTCGTGGCAGCGCACCGCGTTCTCGAAGTCCCCCATGGCGATGTAGACAGCACCCATGTTGCCCAGCTCCCGGGCCTCTGAGAGTTCGTCCTTGGCCTGCTTGGCCAGGAGCACGCACTGCTTGTGGCTGGCCAGCGCGTTGGGGTAGTCGCCGATGGCGGTGTAGACATGGCCCAGGCTGCTGAGGGCAGAGGAGGCCGCCTGCGGAGGAGGACAGCAGAGGCTGGCTGCGTGCCCGGCCCCCTCGCCGGGCAGCGAGCCCTCGGCCCCCAAGTCGCTCCCTCCCTGCTCCCCACCACAGGCGCGCCCGCATCCGGCAGGCCAGCCTCCTGCTCGCCAGCCGCGAGCGGCTTTTCCAGCACAGCTGCGCCTCGGGGGGCTGCTCCGAGCTCCCCACACTCGTGCAGCTGTGCGAGAGGCTCTCCTCAGGCACCGAAGAGCCCGTCTCGCAAAGTGTGCGGTGTGGCCCTTGGGCCCGGCCACAAGCGGTGCCACTGGCAAGGGCCCCAACTATGCACTGAGGTGGGTGCGGTGGGGTGGGGAAATCCCCTGGACCCCTGCCTCACAGAGAGCCGCCGGGAGCAGGCCTGGGGCCTTCTCTGCGCAGCTGCAGAACGCTGGGGTGTCATTCCGAGGAGGAGCTGCTGCCCGCAGCCTCCCCGGCCAGGCCCCCACCGTTTTCCTGGGTTCTGAGAAGGGCCCACTGCAGCCCACTTGGCCTGGAACTCCTCTCCAGGGGAAAGACCCTCGCCTCGCATGGGCCGGGGGCTCCCTGCCTCTCGCCAGGATGAGGCCCCACTGTGGCCAGGAAGCCCGTCCTCGAGCGCCAGACGGTGCCACGGCCAGTCGGGCCTGGGCAGCCACTGGTGGGGAGGCCTCTGCCCACACTCCTGGGCTGCCCCCAGAGGCCTGCCTGCTCCGGCTCCTCTGGCGGTGGCTGCAAGCGCCACCCCGTGAGGGCCGTCTGCACGTCCCCTGGAGCTGCCAGAGGCAGGCACAACTGGAGATTCACCGCAGCCCTTGCGAGGCCGAGAGGAAGGCATGAGGTGGCCCCCCAGGCTGGAAGGCAGCCGGCGGGGGCTGCAGAGTCGTGCCAGGCAGACACCCCCCAGCCCCCCCACAGCACAGGCGCCGGTCCCTGGCTCCAGGGGCTCTCGGCAGGCTGCGTGAGCCGTGGCAGCTCAGCCCACCCAGGGGCCTCTGTCACCACAAGGGGCCTGGGTGTGCGTGCGCGTCTGTGCGTTCGTGCGCGTCCTGTGTAGCGGCAGCACAGCATCTAGAATCCCCCCCAAAAAAGCCTCTGGGACGATTTACTGCCCCTTCTGGCTTCTGCGGTGATTGATGTTCACCTGATGGCCAAATGACTGAAGGCAAAGCCAGGCTCTCGGCTGGGAAGAAGATGGCTGAGCCGAAGCGCGCGCAGGCCCGTAGTCGGCCGTCTCTGCTCCGGGCAAAGGCTGGGCGTGCGCACGCCAGAGGCCCTGCCCTGCCCGCCCCCGCAGCACCCTGGCTGGAGGGCCTGCCCAGGGAGGGCCTGGGGCAGGAGGGGGCAGCTGCCAGCGGCTGCCCCGTCTTCTGGCAGAGGCCCCGCTAGCCTCCCCCAGTGCAAAGGGCGCCTACTGGGCCGCTGGCACGGCCACCAAGACCCATCTCTCCCAGACAACGGCAGAGGACAAAGCACGCGGGGAGGGCAGGGGCTCCAGGCAGATTCGCCGGAGAGCCGGACTGGCGAAACGCAAGGCGAGAACCCGCCGGGCAGAGGAACTCCCACTGAGGCTCTTGCAGCGAGGTACCTGCAGGAGGCGCCGCCGGCCCAGCCTTCCTCGGCACCTGCCACCTCCCTTGGGCGCCACGCCTCAGTGCAGGGGGTCCAGAAGGGCCGCCACACCCCTGCACGGCTGCAGTACAGCAGCGCCGGGCCACCGCAGGGCCCGGCTGCGCTCACCCCGATGGCCTGGCCTGCGTGGAGCCCCGGTGAAGCCAGCAGGCGCCCGAGGGCTGCCGCGGGAGCCACCTCTCCGAGTGGGCGCCCCTCCCGTTCTGGGAGCCAGTGATGGTTCTGCCTTGCTCCCTTCGCTATTTTTAAAAGCAGGCCTGTAATCGAAGATGTCCAGAGGCCCGAGAACTGGAAGAGCAATTACGCTGCGGAGGCTCTGTGGTCTCCGCAGCCGCTGCAAGACAAACATTCCAGCACGGCGATGGAGTCGGAAGCCCATCCGTGCGCCCGGATCTGCCTGCCGCTCCACTCCCCTCCCCTCCTCGTGTTCTCCTCCGGATTCCTGCGGCCGTGAAGCAGACTCCCCAGTCCACAGGAGGGACACCCCGCGCCTCTCCGCCTGCCTGCCTGCCCAGAGCCGGCCGGGCCAGCACAGCCCCGCTGCCTCTGTTCGTCGGCTGTTGCTGGCACCGAGGGAGGGCCCTCACTCCTCCGCAGAAGCAGGGAATCTGGGTGCCCCAGCAACATCTGGACCACGACTCCCACCACCACTACTGGCTGCGGCTGATGGGTCCCGGCTCCCCACCCTGCTCCTCTGGGCCTTCTATGCCATGTCCTCCTCCTCTCGGTGCCTGGGGCAAGGCCATTACCTCACTGCAGAGCGGCACGCAGCGAGGCCCTCCTGGTGGGCTGCATCAGCACCGCTGCAGCTTCACAATAGCTCTGTGTTACAAAAGACCCCGCCGAGGGGCCAAGAAAAACAGCTGTGCATCCAGAGGAAGCCCTGTGGTCGGGGTGATGTCATCAGAACGCGCCAGAGCAATTTCCTGTGGTTGCATCCACAGGAAATCCAAAAGGCTTGGCTTTCTCACAATCCAAGTAGCTGTTTGCTGTGAAGAACCATTAATTATGTGCCCAGATGGGTCATAAATGGAAGAATATTGTGATCAGCTGGAAGCTGCCCTGGCCAGCCCGCACGGAACCGAAGCACCAACGGCTGCAGACGCGAGACCTCCGCTGACAGCAGCAGCCTGCACTTGTGAAGCCGGGCGGGAGCAGCCCCTGGGCCTCAGCCTCCCCTCCCCGAAGGGGCCATTCCCAGCCCCCAGTGCTCATGCTCCCAGCTTGTGCAGGGAAGGGACTCTTGGCTGGCCCTCACTCCACACAGAGCTTTCCCCGAAGGTCAGAGCCACCCGCTGGCCCGGTGCCAGGCTGCATCAGCCCCCCCCCCACCCCACCCCCCAGTGTGGAGTCTGCCTAGGCCCAGCTCCCATCCTGCTGACCAAGCCACCAGCACAAGCCTCCGAGGGTCCCGCCAGGCCTGTGCCCACCTGCCCGGTGGCTCCACAGAGGAAGGATGCTGGGCTCACGAGGCGGTGCCAAATGGGAAGCAGCCCAATCCCCTCAGAACGACAAGGACACGCACACGGCTCAGGAAGCCGCGGCTCCCCCCGCCCCGCCCCCCCGCCCCCTACCTCTCTGTCCTTGAGCTTCATGGCAAGCATCAGCTGATGTCTGTGGTTAGTCAAGGCCTCCCGGTAGTTTCCTTTGGAGAAGAATGCAGAGCCCAAATTGCCGTGAGCTCGGCATTCACCCATCTGGTCACCTGGATGAGAATTGAGCAGAATGCACGGGTGAGCAGGAGGGACTCCAGAAAGGCAGGCACTGGAGGGAGGGATCCACAGGACGCCCACGTTCCCCACTCCTGCCCCAGCAAGCCAACCCACGGCCTTCTCCTGCCAAACGCACTCTGCCCAGAGAGGAGCCGAGGAGAGCGAGCAGCACCCTGCTCCCAGCCTCGGTGAACGGGCTGCTATCACCTTCCGGGCTGGTTCTCCCCTCACTTGGCTCAGGGAGCCCCATTCTGCTCTGTGCTGCTTGTGTGAAGCACAGCCGGCCCCGTTTCTGCGGGGAAGACTGGATGGTGGATCCAGGGGAAGGACCACTCAGGGCAAGACCAGCTCATCATCTGCCAACACATGACTCAGACGCAGAATCATCCCCAAGTCTCTTCTACCTGCCCCCGGGTTCCCACCTGAGGGCTTCGGCTGCACAACCAGCGCTAAACATTTTCCTCCAAATGGGCTTTGGCCACTGTCGGTGCCTCTTGACCCCGAATCGCAACACGCTGTGAGAAGCAGACTCGCCCAGCCGCGCCGCTCTTTATGCTACACCCGGCGGTTCACGCCTGCCCCCGCCGCCAGACATGCCCCCCCTCGAGTCTGGAGCACCCGCCCAAGGCAAGGGGCTACCTAAAGTCTTGGCCACATCCAAGTCCTGCTGCATGTAGCCGGTGCTTTTCTCGGTGCTGCCCAAGGACCAGTAGGCGCTGCTCAGGGCAGAGAAGACTGAGCCCCTCAGCTTCAGGCTGCAGGTGCCGATCTTCAAGGCTGCTTCGAGGACCACCACCGAGGCGCCGTGATGACCAGCAGTCAGCAGCTCCTGCCCAATCACAGAGACCACCACAAAGGGGCTCTTGTCCAGCTTCATCTTCTGCAGCTGCTGGTATGTTGGCTCCAGGGATTCTACGAGAGGGAGGAAAAAGAGGAAGAACTCAGAGCCGTTTCCCTCCAGGGCATCATGGCAGGGCTTCTGCAACTCATTTGTTCCACTCAAAGAAGGCAGACCCTGTCAGCATGCAGAGCTCCTGCTGAACTTTCATGGTCTTAGAAAATTTCTGAGCCAGCCTTTCTCCTGTGATCCACTGTGGCATACAGCATTCAGAAAGTATTTTGACCGGATAAAATCATTCTTCCCAAATCACACAACTTCTAAAAAATAGAAAATGTAACTAAAGGCCTGCAGTCCCATTCTCACCCCACACAAAAGGCCAAACTTGTCAAAAATACGCTACTCAAGGAGGGCTTTTTCAAAATTCCCCCTTTTCAATGGAATTGCAGCCCCATATTAGGGTTAGGGGTGTGCACCAGGGTAGGGTTAGGGTTAGGAAAACAAGGTGTCCTGGAACGATTTTGATGGTTGGAATGCGTTTAGAAGGGGCAGAAAGGATGAGCTGCGCAGAAAAAGCTACTCAAGGAGGGCTTTTGCAAAATCACCCTTTTCAATGGAACTGTAGCCCCATATTAGGGTTAGGGGTGTGCGCCAGGGTAGGGTTAGGGTTAAGAAAACGAGGTGTCCTGGCATGAATCTGATGGTTGGAATGCGTTTAGAAGGGGCAGAAAGGATGAGATGCGCAGAAAAAGCTACTCAAGGAGGGCTTTTTCCAAATCGCCCTCTTTTCAATGGAACTGTAGCCCTATATTAGGGTTAGGGGTGTGTACCAGGGTAGGGTTAGGGTTAGGAAAACGAGGTGTCCTGGCATGGTTTTGATGGTGTTTTGATGTGTTTAGAATGGGCAGAAATGATGAGCAGTGCAGAAAAAGAAACATAGAAACAGAACGAGTAAGAAGGTGTCTCCCAGGCTATCTAGTCTGACCCTTGGCTCCAGCCGGCAAAAGCTACCCAAGGAGGGCTTTTTCAAAATCGCCCTCTTTTCAGTAGAACTTCTAAACTGAAACCTGTTTTCAGGTTTTATTGCAGTGTTGGCACTATGTGATGAATAAGTGGGTTCTGGGTTGCAGTTGGGGCACTCCGTCTCTCAAAGGTTTGCCCTCACTGACCTAGAGCATCGGGAAGAGCAGTCCAGCAACATGTGAGGACTTGGGAGGCTGATTCTCCATTGTCTCCTCATCCAAACCCTGGGAGGTAGATCATGCTGAGACGTGGCAACAGGTCCGAGGTCGCCCAGAGAGCTCCAGAACAGAGCGCAGATCTGAAGCAAAGTCAGACACTGCAACTACAACCCACGGCCTCTTCAGGTGCCGGGGGGGGGGGGCTGAGCAACACAAACAAGGCAGCTGCCCAGGCCTGAAAGCAGCTAGTGCAAACACTCGCAAAGAGCGTTCTGCTTCCGCAGCGCAGGAGGACAACCGCCCCGGCCCACACGGCCTCTTGAGCAACTGGTACTGGGAGGCAAATCACCTTTGATACCAAGGGGAATCTATCACTATCGGAGCGAGTAGCCATTGACATCCGTGGTCTTCCACGAGTCTGCCGGTCCCCTTCTAGAGCAGACCATTAGCGGCCTCCACCACGTCGTATGCTACCAAAGCGGGTCTTGTCTCTGCCTCCCTGACTCAAGCTACCTGCGCATCACGTCAGCCTTCTTGTTCCTTGAAACTGCCCACATCTTCCAGCTAGCATTGCAGCTGGCTGGAAAACCCCCAGAATCCCTTCCAGAAGATCACACGCAAGTGTTGTCGCCATTGCTCCCATGTTGCACTGCAGCGATCGGGACCCAGGCCAGGGGTCATCGCTCCATGGACCACCCTGACCTCATCAGCGCAGCCCACAGCACTGCAGAACGCCCGCTCACCTCGCATCGGAGACTTCATGGCGGCTTCCACCATCCCCACCAGGAGCTGCAGACTCTTCGGATCCTGAGCCAGCCCAGAGGCAAATGCTGCCAGAGCATCGGCATGGCGCCCGAGATACTGGAGGGCAACGCCCTGTCGGAAGTAAGCCTGCAACACAATGAGGCAGAGATCAGCAGCTGCCCCACACAAGCCCGGGCCAAGTTCCCCAAAGGAGAGGGACTGCTGTGCTCAACGGTGAGCGTGGAATTGCCACGTTTGGCTCACGTCTTGCAAGTTCTCAATGACACCATCATCCTGTATTTTTCCTGAGGTTCTTCCATCTTTTCTCAGACCACAGGAAATCTAACTCACTTCATAAAAAACTAAGAGGGCTGAAATGTCCACCATGGAAGGTGCCTCCGGCACTAATTTTCTGTCTTCGAATGCATGATGTTTTCCCTGAAGTACCGAGAACCAAACTGATCATATTCCATCCATGTTCAATGTAGTATTTGCAGCGTGCATCATTTGATTATTCTTCTAAAAAAATCTCTTAATGATCACTAAAATGTTTTCTGGCTAGAACTTTTTTTAAACTTTTTTATCTCACCAGGGCGGCTTATTTTATATTGTATAATTGTATTTTATTTTAATGTGTATATTTTAATTTTTACTTATGATGAATTTATTGTTGTAAGCCGCCCCGAGGCTTCGGCGAATGGGGTGGCATAAAAATGTTTTAATAAATAAATAAATAAATAAAAGCAAAGCAAAGGATAGTGCTCTATCAACTATGAGGCTAATTTTCAAAAAATAAATAACATCAGGGAGCCCCCACAAAGCCGCCAGGTCCTGGGAGGCTGCAGGGCAGCACCAGGCTATTTAGCCCACCCAGCTTCCTAGGTGAGCTTATCCGAAAGCCACGCCGGTTCATAATTCAGCGTGGGTCTCGGGCACTGCTGAGATGTTCTTCCCCAGAGTGCAGCGGGGATCAAGGCTGGTCCTCAGCACCAAGCGGCAGCGATTCCACCCTGCCTGGAAGGATGGATGAAGGCTCAGAGGCAGCCCTCGCCACCCAAGCGGAACCGATCTGCAATTAACTTCCAAAGTGGCGATTCATTAGGGCATCCAGGCTCACTCAGGAGCCAGTCCGCAGAGGCAGAAGTTAAGAAAAATCAGAAATGACACCGGAAATTTATAGACATGAATATTTGATCTCTTTTCCATTAGCAAGCATTGATTGTAGACCCATTTTTAATGAATTGGATGGAAGCAAAATTCATTTCATTAACCTTTACTATAAGCGTGTTGTTATGGAATCGAGCACACGGCTGCACGGCAAACCCAGCTCAGGAACAGTCAGGCTCGACTCAGAGAAAGCCCACAAAGCAGCTGGGTCTCGGCTGCTCGGCGTGCGCGCTGAGCCTCTGCCTGGGCAGGCGGAGGAGGAGGAGGAGGAGGAAGAGTGAGCATGGAGAGAGGAGGTGGCCACCTTGCAGGCTACCTCCCCAGAGGGCCTGATGCCAGGCTCAGAAAGGTTGCCAGATCAGGCGGCTTTCCATTTCGGAATGAAAATCTGCAGCAGTCTCACCCCAACAGAGCGTGGCTTTCCTGATCAACGTAGCTGGCGAGGTGCGGACTCTGCCCCCTGCTCATTCTCCCATCCAAAGAGCCGCCCTGCTTGCCACTGCACAAACCAGCCAGCTTCCTACACCATGACAACAAGGATGCTGCGAGTTCCCCCAGTGGGAGAAAACAAAGGGAGCTGCTTTAGAGAAAGGGCGTCTAATTAGCAGCTTTCTTCTTGGGCGTCTCGTTGTAGGAGTGATTAAAGATTCCTCTGAGTCCTAAGAATAGACGCAGCCTGTAATATTCCAGTCGCACCAGAGCGCTGCCGCGCCGCCCACCAAACCACAGCGGCACAGGGGCTGACCGCGGAAGCCGCCCAGGGAAGTCCCCGGCCGTGTGGCTGCCGCTGCTGCCGGCTGGGTCTGCAGGGCACGGGCGGCTGCAGATGCAACGCAGCCAGCTCCCCCAGGCTTGGGCGCGGCTCCTGCACCTCCCTCCGTGGGGCACCCTCCTTTCCACAGCCGCCCACCCACCCGAGGGTGCTGGGATCGCAGTTCACCTGCAGGAAGGCCTCGCTGCTTGGTTGGGGCAGGGCCTGCATGGGCTGGGCAGGCTCTCTCTTGGCATCCTGGAAAAGCTGCTCCTGGCTTGGGGGTTGCACGAAGCAGGAGCAAGAGTGTGTTTGGGCCGGCTCTGAGCTGCTTGTGAGCCTGGAGGTGGCTCCGATCCTGTGGGGATGGACCTCTTCCCTGTCCCTTTAGGGGCAAACAGCCCTGCCCCAAGTGCCTCAAGGGCAGCTCTCACTCCCTAAAGGTCTGCCCACAACTCCACCTGCATCAGTATCTTTCTCATGAAGAGAGAGCTCGTTATATGGCATGAAGCTGTGAATGATGGAAACACCTCAGAAGACAGAATGAACATGGGGCAGCGTGGCACAGGGACCAAGAACAGCTCCCCATCACGCCTAGGTCCCCGTTTCCCAAAATGTGTCCCCCACACCCCTTGTGTAAACTGGTGTCCTGCAACAGCCCTTCCTGGCCCCTTCCAACCTTCCTGTTCCACGATTCCTTGCATTGCACAGCATTGCTCTGTCTCCCGATACCCAAAGCTCCCCGGGTGTTTTACAGAGACTATAACCCTCTGAGATCCAGGCATGTGGCGAAGCAATCCTGGATCACGCGGCCAAAGGGGAAGATGGCCCAAGCGCCACCTCCACCGCATCTCCCCAGCTAAGAGTGGAAACCCAGCACCTGAAGACGCGGGAAAACCCACTTGCAGCGGGACGTGCTTCCAAGAAGAGGGAGGGAGTGCCCAGAAGGGCTGAGTGGCAGGGCGGCCAGAACCCACCTCCGGACCCGGCACGGACCGCCCCCGCCCCGGATGCCCAGAGCCACAGAGGCAGCAGCCAGACGAGCGGGGCCTTCCCTCTGCGTGTGCCGGCAAAGTCCTAACAGACTGCCGAGCCTGGAACACAAAAGGGAGGAACGCCCTCGCCATGTGCTGCTTTCATGTCGCTGGTCTCCTTTATCGCAAATCTCTGAAGCAGAGATTCAGTAATGTGGCAGTTGCCATGGTAACTGCTTGTTTTTATTGAATTGTTCCAAAGAGGTCAAGAAACATCAGCTTTGCTGATCCTGTACAGATTCCCTCCTTGCAGAACATCTGCTTTTCCTTAGTGGCCCGCCAGCTCGGCTCTTGCAGGCCGTGCTCGCGGAGGGGCCTGCAGGGAGCCTCCCTGCCCATCACGCTGCCCTCCACCCTGTCCGGCAGCAGCACCCTCCCAAGGGAGGCGCCCCTGCAGCTGCCCACCGGCCACAGTCCCCGGGGAACTGCCTCCAGGCTCGCCAGACTCCCTCCCAGGCGCGGTCCTGGCAGGCAGTGGACTGAGCCGAGATCACCTCCACCTGGCCTGGCGCTGCCAGCAGCCTCTTTGCACCGATCGCGCCCACCATTCTTTCCGCAAAGTGTGCAGAGCCCGCAAGTCACTCTTGCGGAATCAGAGCTGCCTGCTCAGCGGGGGGTGGGGGGCTGCGTGGCATGCGTGCAAGCTGGCCTCAGGCTCTCTGGGCACCTGTGCAGGGGCACCGTGTGTGGAGAACTTTGGGCAGAGAGAACACTGGCCAAGCAGAGCAACCCCGACCTGTTCCAGCTGACAAACGGTCCCTCGCTCATCACTGCCCCGTCCTGTAGAATGAAAGGGCACGTGGAGACTAGATCAGTGGGAGCACCTCAGCTTTACGCCTCTGCTCCCAAAGGCCCTTTTCATCCTCCCACCCTTTTTCTTTGTTTCTTTGTTGATGCTTATCTGGAATTATCAAATGCAATGTAAGTTTTAGGTCTTATATTGGGAAGGCTTATCGCATTACAATAACAAAAGGCAACTACATTAGCAAAATTATAGAATTCATACAGGAAAACCACCTGACAAATGAGGAAAAATACAGAGTCTGGTCTGTATTACTGAACATCAAGTGCAAGGTGTTACGTCACGAGCAGACAGAACTTGGGAAATGCTGCTTGGTTTTCACTGCCTTGCTCAGCTGCTCCAGCCCACAGACAATGTACTGTTCTATTATCGCTGGAAGATTTCTTTTGCAGTTGCAGTTCTAGAAGGTGTCAGTAAGAGAGCAATTTACAGACAAAGTTCATATCTCCCCAATTCCCTCTCCATATCTTAAATCACACAGGAGATGGAGTTAAAGATGCCACACATGCTGTTTCCTACTTCCTCTTTTCCATTATTTTGCCCCAATAGGTTGGGACAGCTGGATGCTTTTACCACATACGTGGGGCATCAGCCAATGATAAATTACATCTCCAGCATGTATTCAGCCTGTCAAAATACAACACAAATTTGTTTTTACAATGGTTCACCTTCATATTAATGCCGAAGTGACTTAGCAAGGTGTTTAATAAAGGATTCCAGGCTGTAGCAGGGCTGCCTGACCCTTTTGCTCATCTAGATTTGACACTGGTTCCAGACGGACAGAAGCCAGTAAAAACTGGAAGATGACAAAAAAACTCATTACAGTTGATTTTTTAAAATCAGTTAGGCAGGACTTCAGTGTTCCATTCCTTAACCTTGTATTTAAATAATACCTAAGTTAAAAGTAGTGGAACCACTGAGAGTTTTCTTTCCTCTTCTCTGAAACATACTCCCTGCTTCTAATATGGCAATGATGAAAGAATTAAATAAAAGACGCATTCAGCTGCATAAAGCAAGGTAAATAACACCGCGGCGGTCTGCTTAACTGCCATCCGGGTGCAGCCAGATTTGAGTCGGGCGAACTGCTCTAGCAGAAGTGGGGCTTTCCTTCCCGCGGTGGCCCCCCCAGCCCCTGAAATGCTGCCCAGAAAGTGAGCAGGCCCTGCTCGGTGGGCCCAGCGGTGGCCTCGGGGGTGGCAGAGCCCCGAAGGGACCGTCTGCAAGCCGTGCCCAGATGGTCACAGAAGTCTGATCTGGGGCCAAGCCCCTGCCAAATATCGCACCACGGTGAGGAATTTGCTGAGTGAATCCACCTAAGAATTATTCTCCATCCTGTGGCATAACAGCGGAAAGCAGGTTTGCAGCGAGTGAACTGCCTCACCTCTTCGGATTCCTAAAGCGCTTCCTCCAGCAGGAATGTCAGTCGTGCATCCTCCCAGATGGACCATCAGCACGAACCCTTCTTTTACAGCCACACTGACCGGGTTTTATTCCTTCATGCTCTTGCTACTTGCTGTGCTCCCCCATCAGTGTGGGGGGTGCTGGTGTGAACCTGACTCTCCTTTGCCGAGCAGTGATTTCCTGCCTGCCTCTGCAGCCCCAAATATCCGTCTCGAGGGCTGCAGATGAAAAAGGAAGCTGGCAAAGATTGACCCCTCCTTACACGAACAAGGGGGCAAGTTCGGATCCAAGTACTGCAAGCGGGAAGGCAGCGGGGAGGGGGGAGAAGGCAACCTAATGAGCAGCACATCTTTTCAAACAGCTGCTCCTGATGTTAAACGGCGTTATTTTTGCCTGTAAGCAGGCTTGGGCCGGCTGTAATCCTGAAAGGTGGCTAAGAAATAGATTTAATAGCTACCAGCCCATCAATCACGCCCATTTATCAATAATTTAGCATGTGGTCCTTAGGAGAGGCCTTCCGTGCATTAAGAACGTCCATCAACGCCGGCTCCCAGTGTTTGTGTGGGAAGCCGACAGCGACAGGACTTGCGCCTGGCCTCCTCCAAGGGTGCGCCAGATGGGAGAGGCAGCAGAGCGTGGCCTGCTCAGGACAGGGACATCAGCCACGGCGCTTCTGTTCTGGGGCAGAGCAGGTGGCTCTTGCGGGCATGATAAATAATTCAGCCTGGAAGGCGCAGCATGGAGGAGATGTAAAGGGCACCCACAGCTGCCAAGCCCCCTTTCAGCCTCAGTGAGTAGCCAAGCCCCTGGTCACCAAGAAAGATGCTCCCCCCCCCCGAACTGTGTTACTGTTTTTGAAAAGCACACCAGGAATAGAAGTGAAGGATCAGATGTGGATGAGTGAACGAATCAGAGCATTTGCTCCATTTCCATGGAGCTCTAAACTGTCAACATCATTACTCAGAATTGCCTGCAAAGTGGCAGAAGCTGGATGCTGTCATCCAGGGGGCTTTGACTGGGACTGGGTTTTAATCAGCGGGCAAGATTGGCCCACTGTTCTTTGGAAAAACTGTACCCATCGGACAAACCACCATCCAGGTCCTTTGATTTATTCGCATTCCATGAGCTTAGCAGGGACAGCAGAACACAAGCAAACCAAGTCCAAAACCTGAACTGAATTAAATTTCTTCTTCTCCCAGTGACCACCTTGGGAGGGGACTCTGTCCAGGTGCAACGCTGTTGCCCACCAAACCAGGCCCTGTCAAATTCTATATAATCCTCAATTAAATCATCAGAAGGGTCAGACCTTCCACTAAGCCTCCAGCTAACGTTAGAGCTGACCCCCACAATCCCCAGCTAAAGCAAAACCCAAACCAGCGCAGAGAAGGATGCTGCGGCTGAGGCCTTTTCAGAGGCCTGAGCAAGCAGGAAACCTCCGGCTCCCCCCGCCCACCCCGAGTGCTGCCTCCGGGCATCCCAGAGGCCTGGCTCCTCCCAGCCAAGGGCCTGCCCTGCCAGAGAGATCCACAACACCGAAAGGAATGCAGACCTAGCCACAGCACCACACATGCACCCGAGTTCACCCATTCACACGTGCATGGGAGCAGCTCCCCCACCTGCAATCACCCTCCCTGGCCATGATCCACAGCAAGGCGGAAGCTGCAGCGGCTCAGCGACTACTCAGGTAGTGGCTCCGGTCCTCCACGGCATCCCAGTGAGAAGCGTGGCGTGGCAGCAGCCACCGAGGCAGAGTGCTGCGGGCACTTTCCCTGAGCAGCCAAGGGCACAGGAGTTGGCCGAGGGGGGAGATCCTTGCCGCGACCCACACGGCTTCATCTGTCCTTTTCTCCTGTGCCTGAGGTTCCTCCAGAGCCCTCCTGCGACCACCATGGGCTGGAGAGGCCAAGGAGTCCCGGAGCCGGTGGTCTCCACAGAGGATCACTTTCCACCCTCAACTGTCACCACCTTGTTTTTTCCACAGAGCAAAACTTTCAGCTCTCCAGATCTTCCAAGCCTCTAATCTCATTTGCTTTGTACTGCTCTGAACTCCTTCCAATAATGATGTGATCCCAGCTCTCAAAATGGCCAGCTATTTCAAGCAAGTGCCTTAGAAACCTCCCAAGCTCCACACTAGCTCTCCTGGAACAGAAGCCGGAGAGCCCACGAGCCGCACTTGGGCAAGACTGGCCGAGAGTGCAAAAGCCCTTCCCTGCCCCGCAGCAGCTGAGCCCAGGCAGAGGGTGAGACGCCCCGAACGGCGGCACGCTGCGCCACAGGAGCCAGCAGGGGCCCAGAGTCTCCCTCCTGAAGCAGCAACACGCCCAGAGCAACCCGCCTGCTCTGCAGCAGAGGCTTCCACGGCACTGCGGCCCTCACCCGGCGCCCGACGAGCAGTCGTGGCCCTTCAGCCATTCAGGGCCTCTCCGAAAAACCCTCGCAACCAAAGTGGAAGGCACAGGCGGCTCGTGGGGAGGAAGGAGCCTCTCCCTCTACCCATTCCCATCTGGGAACTGCAAGATGCTCTGAGCCCTCGCGCTGCCAGGCGGGACACCTTGGTCGAGGATGTGAGAGCCAGCTGGAGCAGCCGTTAAGAACTGGGGCCTCCGACTCGACGCGGGAGATCTGGGTCTGGCCCCCTCGGCCATCCCGGTCACAGGCTCTCCGCCTGCTCGCCAGGTTGTTGTGAGGATCGGACTGAGAAGAGGCAGGCAGTTAAGTAAGCTGCCTCGAGTTCCCTGGAAGGAAAAAAGGTGGTACATAAATATAATAAATAAAATACATAATAAATAAATGTGATAATCGGTAGAACTCAAGTTCATTCCATTTCAAAACTCATCATCATCTAAATCTGCACCAGCTTGCAAGCTATTTTTCTAGCATGAAAATCCAGTGTCTTCTCAAGCACACTTCTCCAGATGTGTGCATCAGTTGCATCTTACTTATTTATTTAATTTCTACGCCACCCAAAACCTACGCTCTCTGGGAGGTTCAAATGTTGTATGCGGGGGCGGGGGGTCACATGCATCTTCGACATGCACACCATTCTTCTCTCACTGATTGAAGGATATTTGTGCATATTCTTCAGAAGTACACATGTTTCATGTATATCTTTCAATTGTACACATCTGACCTTTTGCTCTCTGAATTGCAATGCAAACTCAGAAATATACACGCTTCAACTGCAGCTTCTATCCAAGTCCATATTCAGTTCAGAAAGTGTGCACGTCCTGATCCAAATTAAACTGTAACTCATTTCTTATGCCTTCCTAATTGAGATTCAGGAAGAGCCCCGGCAACCGGGGCAGCTTCTCTCCAATCCAACTATTTGGGGGACCTCGGCAGCCACTGGACTGGCACTGGGCTTCACCTGTAGTGAAATAAAAGCGAGCCAACCAGTTCTGGACTCACTCTTGAAATAATCCGAACAGCCAGGTGCCACCCAGAAAAGACCACTCGCCACCTTCACGGCCTCAAAAACAGCCCTTAAGAGCAGATCACACCGCCGTGGAAGGCTTGCAAATTACTTTCCACACTCCTTGCCCATTATTTATGGCTCTGGAGGAGCTGAGCCTCTCCAAGGCCTGCGGGGACAGGAGTCATTTCCAGCCTGCCAAGTGCAGTTACATTGCCGCTTGCGCCTAATGCTGCTTTCCTCGCTTTCACCACTGCTGCATCCTGTGCATTTGCTACCAAGGAAGAAATAAAGCCCCACATCAAGGAAGACCCGTGCTCACCAAGTGTGGCCATTGAGGCCAGCTGCACGCAGTCGGGGCTCTTCGCAACGCCAGGCCCTCTCCCGAGATGCCCAAAATAGTCCCTGGCTTCTACACCAGCCAGAACAGCCGGGCCGTCTCAGGAGCTTATGATGGGTCTAAGACGACAAGCTGCAGACTCGGTGCCCACTCTGTCCGCCTCTGTAAGGTCCCTCTGAGACCGAGAGGAGCCCTCTGGGCACTCGCATCTGAGCAAGGAATGCAACTCCCAGGTGGGCCTAGCCAGCCAGCGGGCATCCTGCGCCGGCCCCAGGGGCAGCGGCTGCAAGAAGAGGGAGGCGCCGCATCAGCAAACTAGCAGAGGTTTGCGGTTTCATTCATTTGTCCAGGCCTGTCTATACCGTTCAACTGGCACAACGCTCTCAAAGCAGAATTCTATTAAAACTAGGTACAATGTAATACTCAACTTAAAAACAGATTTAAAACAAACACATCTGAAATAAAACATCCATACAACAATAAAATTCAACAGGCATGTACAAATCAACAATTAACAAAACAATACCTAGTAACACTAAACAATCAATTAAGCAACAATTCCACACGTACCAATAACATTCTTAAAAGCCAGTATAAAACCAAATATTACAGTCAACAGATAAAATGGTGAGAAAATAACAAGATCTTACCTGGCGCCGCAACATGCGCAGCGCCAGCGCCAGGCAAACGGGACGCCAGAGCCAAGGAGGCCCTTCCCCTCGGTGCTTCGTCTTCTCCTCCCCTTAAAGGTGGCTATGGAGAAGGCCCTCCACGGATGACGGGCATCCAGCCCCCAGCCCAGCCGGTCTATCCGGAGAGATAACATGCTCAGCGGTACCAGGAGCCAATGGTTGAGGGGAATCAGCACTGCCCGTCTTGTTCCCGGCAAAGGTCACCCCACAGGATGTGAGGCGGTTTCCGTCCCAAGCCCAGGCCCGAGATGGATCCCAGTGATCCGCTCCCTTCGACAGCGCCTGGAGCTGCCTGATCCAGACAAGGCGGAAGTGGGACCAGTCCTTCCTTCAGGTAGACACGTGTAATTCTCTGGACCCAGGATCACGTCCCCTGCTGGTGGCCTGGCAGGCAGGAAACAAGGGACCACTCCAGGGCCGGGGGGCAGCCGTGTGTCCCCATGCACATCTCAGCCTTGCTCAGCCACCAACTGTCACGAACAGAGAGGGCAGCTCTCAGTGCCTCTTCTAGAACGCCCCTTCCCTGCCTTGCCACCCCGTGTGACGAGGCGCACGACCAGAGCCTAGGAACAGCCCCAGAACAACGCGAGGGGGAGCCAATCCGGCGGGGAAGCCCTGCCTCTGAGGGGGAGTGCAGGCCTGCCAAGTGCCCAGCGCCTAAGGAAGCTTTGGGCGAAGCATGTCAGGGAGGGCCCAACATGTTGCTTTGTGCATGCTCAGAGACCTGCATGCAAAGGAAAGAGAATCACTGCTGGGAGGGGGCAGCTCCTTGAGGGCGCTTCATTCAAAGGCTGCCGCTACAGCAATTCCAGTCAAGGCCGGTTCCCTTGCAGGTGACCACCGTCGCCCTGGAACGGACTCTCCTCCTCCAGCCGGCAGAGGATGCGAGAGAGGGAGGCTCTGCGCACGGCCCCGTCTGCTGCTGCGAAGGGCAGAGGTGGGCACTGAGTGAGGCCGTGCCTGGCACTGGACCGTCGCCTCCTTCCCAGAGATAAGCTGCTCTGCCCGGTCGCGCCCCACCACGGCCTCCCGGCCAGGGCGGAAGCAAAGGGTTTGCGGGGAGGCTCCTCACGGCCAGGCCAGGCCAGCCCCCCCATCCCCCACTCCCATGCAAGGAGTGCTGGGAGGGGAGGCAGATGGCGCTTCCCGGAGGGGATCATTCTTCAGAGAGCAATTAGGAAAATATAGCAACCCCTGGGGCAGCATCTGTGGAAGCTGCCCAAAGCCAAGCCAAGCCAAGCCGCAGCACTGGCCCAACTCTGCCAGAGGCCCCTCGCCATGGTGCACAAAGGGAAAGGCAAGCAAAAGCAGGGACCCCGCTCTTGTGCGAAGGTTCCCCATCAGGGCTCTGGAGCCACCCCGGATTGGGTGCCCATCAGCCCCCCGCAGCTCTCACTTTTTCCTCCAACCTTAAAGCTGGAGAAGGGAGCAGGGTGGGCAGGACTGGCCACACAGGCCCTGCAAGGGGGCATCCAAGGACTCGGCCGCCCCAGAGAGGAGTGGGCCTGCACCAGAGCTGACGCCACGGCACTCGGCCTCCTCAGCAGAGTTCTCCCCAGGCTGACAATGGCAGAAAGGCCAGGACAAGTCCTCTGACCGGCCACGTGCCACCAAAGCACTGCTTGCCGGCAGGAGCCCCCCTCTGCCAGGCCTGGGGAGTACAATTCCTGCTGGTTTCTGAGCGCGCCATGCGCCCCGAGCAGCAGATGGGGCACAACGCACAACGCCACACCCAGCCAGCTGCCAGGCAACCAACTGTCCCAGCAGCAAGGGCAGGAGGCAGCTCTGCAGGACCCGGCCGCCCTGCTGCAGCCCCTCACGCCAGGGCATCAGGCTAGGCTAGCGTGCAGCCCACCGGCCAAGCAGTGACTCGGGCCAGCTGCCTCCCTAGGCCAGGATGTCGCCATCCCTGCAGGGGCCTGTGGCAGGCCAGCACGATGCCGCGTCCAGGGTCCAGACACGAAGCAGGTGTCTGTGGCTCGCAGAGAGAAGCAAGCTCCCGCTTTCCTGCCTCGACACCGATTGTGCTGAGAAACCAGCGGCCTCCAGTGGGAACCCTTCAGGGGAACGAGAGAAGCCACCACCTCCATGCACAAGACACCAACCGGCTTCGCTCAGATCCACCAGCAACACCGCAAGCCCATCAGGAAAGGGACGCCTATAGGAGGCAGGCTTGCTACTGTGGAGCACAGGCGGTCTTTTTGCCCTCATCAGGCCAGGGGGAACCCGCTTTTCCAGAGTGAGAAAGAAACTGAAGTTGCATGGTCCTGCTCTGAGGGGGCCGTGAGATGATCACAAAGGCCCCCTTGCTAGAACTGTAACCAGGATTTTTGAACAGGGAATGCCTTCTTAAGAACCTGGCATTACACAGGCTTTGGACCGGGTGACCACCCCAGGTTTTGGAAAATATACCCCAAGCAAAGTGTCCATAAAGGCAGTGGGGGAGAGCCAAGTACACGAAGGACCAGTCAGGATTTGGTCCTCAGGCCATGCATGAGTGAGGTCACATGGGCGGCGGGACAAGCATGCTCTCTCTACACCAAGCAAAATTTTCTCCAGCTGCTTCCAGGCAAGTCAATTTGTCTGCAGCCTTCAAGATATTTATTACTGAAATATGGAACCACGTGCAGAGGAATTGTTGTGGCTGGAATAGGATGCAAGAGATGTCAAGTGGCATCTGGGGAGATCTGCACCTTCTTCCCAACCCTACAGGTCTGGCCTTCGAGCCTGTGGCAACCAGTCAAAGCAGGCCCTCCTGGCCAGGGTCCCCAGTTCTCTTAGCAGCAAAAAGAGGGCAGGATGGAAAGGGCTCCCTTCCAACCATCTACACGCTTAACTCAGTAGATGCAAGTGTCCACTTTCCACATCCTACGTGAGATCTTTTGTAAGACTCTCTCGTCTCCTCACTTGTCTGTTTCTAAGCGGAAAAGCTTCGCAGCAAGACAGCCCGATCAAGAATGACAAACTGCACTGCCAGTGCTAGAAAGGCGCACAGGACTGACGGTTCAGAACCATTCAGACAGTCCATTAAATCTTCAGAGATCAGACAGAGTCAGCTCAACCAACTGTTTTCAGAATCCTGACAATTTATTCCAAAATGGCAGAACCAGAAATGAGTTTGTTTGACCTACTTTCAGCACGGCACAGCTGCTTAGGGTGGCCGCTGGCATCTTCCAGCCTTGCTTGCTGTCAGCCGAAACAGAAGGGACTTTTCAGAGCACAAACCAATCCAGGGCGTTCGGTGCCTGACAGACGCACAAAGCCCCTGTCAGTCCACGGCTTCCCCGTTAGAAGGCCAAGCTTCACCGGGCAGACTATGAGGGGCTCTGCGGCCTGGGTCCTCCCACCAGGCTTCCCGGAGGAAAGCGGCAGTTGCAG